GGAGGGGCAGGGAATGCCTTGTGAGGCATCCCCACACATCACCGGCTATGGCCAGAGGCCACCGGCTGGTGTTTTGCTGTCATCGACAATCTATATTGCCGGATGTTACCTTTGGGTATTCAATTCTAATCTGTCAAATTACATAAGTTACATTATCCTATCCAGTTTATAATTATTTGAAAGTGACTCTCCTTTGGGCTAGTCTCAATTTCCTAATTATAACTGCAATTGAGAATATTATCGACCTTAATGTTACCCTTTTTAACAATTCTTTTATGTAGTTCTATATTCATAAGTTTTACAAATCTAGGCCACTTTGGCAGCTACTAAATTAGTAAACCCTATGAATACAGAACTAACCAACAATATTATCTATTCATTAATTTTGAGTTATTTAATTATCATTAATTCAATCACAATTTTAATGAAATCACTATTTTATGATTTCTAAAATTTCTTTTATGTGATTGCAATTACCAATATAAAAATAATAATAACTCTTGACGAACATGAATATTTATATATCAAAATCATGTAATATAACAATCATGAATATCTCAGGTAATAGTTAACAAGAATTACGCCTAAATAAATTAACCACTTCAATATTTTAATATTCAATGTCATAAAATTATATCATGATATCAAATTTAAATCATGAAAATATATAAATATTAACAATAATAGACAATAAGTGTGCATAATTAGACAAGGCAAAAACATAATCCTCTAATGTGATACAATCAAATAAATATATTTATTTAATAGACCGAACGATTCAACAAAATTCTAAGATTGCATTTAATCTATGCACTTTATCATGACGGCAAGCAATACACTCAATTCAATATCATATTATGATGATTATAAAAATTATTATTACTAAAATTGATAATAAATCACAACATGCATATGAACAGCATATAGAATTACATAAAAGCCTGCACCTAGCAAATCACAAAACAAAGTGAGTGGACTGTGCTCTTATTTAGGTTAGGACCTGATAGATCATGTTGTCTTATGAGTGAGGGAGTCCATGATGTGCATACTTAGTGGAGTGTACATCACATGCCGACAGAGTTCAAACCTTATAAACAAAAGTATGATTTTATGAATAATTATAATTATAATATAATAACAATATTCATAAATATATTATTATTCCAAGGTGTATTGATTCACAAACTAAAGCTCTGATACCACATGTAAGATTTAATAATACATGTAACCATAATAATAATGCGGAATTAAACTTAACAGGATCTTGAATTTAATACAACTCAAAAATAAAACGAACATACCTTTGTCAGCCATTGAATTAGAGAAGTTGAGAAAATACCCCTAATAGTTAAACCGTTAATTCTTGGCTCACCTTCTTCTCTCTGTCTCTCACTTCATTAGGATGACTATAAAACTTAGAGTGATGGAATAATATCAAAAGAAGGGGAATCACCCATCCTTATATAGAGGAGAGAAGAGGGCCAGATAAACTCTATCAAAAGAATTCCTAATCCATCAAGGTTTCCTTCTTATCTTAGAAGAGTGATTATATTAAAATTCTAATTACTGAACTTTATATATAATATTGGCTTTATCTAATTGTGGAGTCCAAATAAAATAAAACATGTAAAAATATGTAAGCTATTAGGCCACACTAGAAAATAAATCCAACAATATTATGATTGATGGAAAAACTGAAATTTATAATTTTATACTGGTGATTGAGAAACTGAAAAAAACATTATATATAATGATTAATAAAAAAATTATAAATACATAGTGTTCCAAGATTACCTAATAATTTTTTTACAAGGCTCAGTGTTTATCCAATTAGGGTTGGTTTAGCTTTATGATAAATGACAAAGAGTCATTTCCAATGGGGTCCGAGACAGGCCTCTTCACATTGGGTGTTGGATGTAGAGAGAATGAGTTGATTCGTAATTTTCGAATAAAATTGGGAAGTTAGTTAAAAATTAATTTTTTGATTTTTTTTTAATTTTTTTTGAAAAAATGTGTAGAAAAAATAAAGAGATGATGTGATTTAAAATAAATTAAAGTTAGATTTTGACTTTTAGTCAAGTTCCCAAATTGAGCTTTAATTTGTATTCCATTTATTAAAAGTTCATTCAAAAGTAGCTTGTTATATACATAAGTCAAATTTGAATATATTTTAAAATTCATTAAGTTTTTAAATCAGTTTAAATAATATATTGAACCTTCGTTTAGGATGTGGATTGGCTTTTTAATTTTTTAGTTATTTTGCCCTAAGGTTTAAAAGTCTCGTTTATGATGGATTTTTTGATTTTTTTGAGAGAAAAAATGAAATGATTATGATTTGAATGTGACATTTTGTCTTATTGACTTTTTAACGTATTTTACTTTTTTGTCGCTAAAATAACCTCAAACCAACATCCCAAACATAATTTGAGTTTGATTCATGTTTACTCAATGCAAAACTCATTTAGGATTGACTTATTTGAAATTTTGAAACTCGTTAAGTTTTGAAGTTAATTTTAAACAAAATACTATTTGACTCAACTCAGCTTATTTGTAGCCCTATGCTAAGGGTATATGCCTTATTACATAGCCATTTGGCATGAAGGTTTGGGTGAGGTGGGGGTTATTTTAGTTATAACAGTACAAAATATATTTTTTAGCCCCCAGACTAAAAGTTGACACATCAACTCATAATCATTTTATTTTTTCTCTCACAAAAGTTAAAAAAAAATCCAAAGTCCATCCCAAACAAAGCTATTTTAACCCCAAACTAAAATAACTAAAAAACTAAAAAACCAATCTACATCCCAAACGAACCCTACGTATTTTTTCAGTAAATACTACAAATCTTTGTGGCAAATATTATACAATCTTCTAGTAAAATTATGACAACTTGTGATTTCTGAAGCAAGATTATAATTATTTGTGATACAATTACATATTTTTATGGTAATATTTTTTTTCTTCAAAATAATTTGAAATATAATATTACAGAGTAACATTTCAATGAAGAAAGTATAACACTCCACCCAAAAAAAAACTAACTGTATCGCACATTGTTATAACTTCACTTTAAAAATCAGAAATTATTGTGAAAAATTGCATAGATTCGTAAGATTCACCAAAAAATATTTGTCAAGGTGCATACAATAAGCACCTCTAAGAGCACCTTCAACTTTTCATTTTTTGGTTTTTTTTTTTATCAAATTTATTTAACAATTTAGATCAAAAGCTTGATTTGATATAATTCACTCTAACGATGAGAATTAGATATTTTTAAACATATATAAATTTCAAAAATCTCCTTTAATCAATTATGCTAGAAAAAATTGATCTTCAATCCTTCAGTCTTTTAACAATTTTATCAAATTTAAGTCAAAAATAAATTGTTGAAAATTTGATGACATATTTAATGAAAGCTTGATTTGATACAAATTTAATAAATAAATTAGATATCATTTTTACTAAATTATTGGAGATGCTCTAAAGTACCTATGGTAGAGTTTCCCTATAAATAATGCAACCTATTTATCTAGTTTCCATCCAAGCCTCTCTCTTACGTTTCATAGTTCTGTCAAAGATTGTCAACTTTAATGGAGTTTCATCTACTTCTCCTCTCCATCTTCACAGTGCTTTCTGTGAGTATTTAAATTTGCAAATTCCTGAAATCAAAAAAGGCATCTTCTCAAAATTTTGTATTCATTTCTTATACATAGATAGACGGAATAAAAATACTATAGATTATGAAAATTTATTCTGAATCTTACTCCAAAAATGAATGTTTAGTATAAATATATAGTTAGTGCACTGGGAATCGCACTCATAATAAATGTAGACTATTAATTTTTTTTTCTAAATAATTTTTAATAATTTTCTAAATATGCAATATTCTATAATACTGAAAATTCTTTTATATGAGTAGTAGCTAGATTTGGAGCGTTTGAGTAGAATTTTTATTTTCACACTCTTACTAACCCAAAATTTTTCTCAAGAACCATGGCAACCATATGTATATATATATGTGTATGTATGAAATTTTAATAATATATGGATTAGTTTTTTGATCACGGTGAACTTTAAATTTGGCAAACGTAATGGTTATAATACAATTTATTATACGGCTGATTATATTTTTTTTTATTTTAAAAATTTATGTTAGAGTGTTTATTGCAACTATTATTTACAATTTATAAAATATGGATAAATTAAATAAATTGAAAAAAATGGACTTTTTGAAAGTTGAGAGAATGATACTTTTATCTTCTGTTTACAATTTTTTTGCACAATTCATAATAACATAGTAACTACTAAACTTATAGTTTCTTAAGGGGAAAAAAAACACAAAAGAAAATGCCCCCAAAAAAAAAATTATTATGAAAGCAATTACTTATAATTAAAATTTATATTTTCTCATTTTTTCGTTGCAAATTTTTTATCTTAATCAAATTCATACAATTTTTTTTTTCTTCTTTCACTTCACTTTTCACCATTTTCATTTCCCACCACTTATTTGATTCTCATCAAACAGATTATATGATAAGCTAATAAAAATTCAATAAAGCTAAGTACCCAAAAAAATTTGCCACGAAAATTGTACAGAACACTAGTGTATGGTTGAGATTTAATTTATTGTCTTGTGAGATTCAGGGCTTAGATGAATCTCAACCACACAATGATATTTCTAAATAAATTTTTAAATTTGTAACATTATTGATAAGTTTTTATTTTGCCTCAGCTGACACATGTGGCAAGCCATGCAGCTCTGTCTCCCCAAGCTTACTGGCACTTGGTGTTGCCAAACACTCCCATGCCCAAGGCTGTCAAGAATCTTCTACCACAGGGTTCCTCTCCTTTTCCCTCAATTTTGAGTTAATACTAATCATGATTTTGAGATATAAATCTTATCTTCCATTTATCTTCATGAATTTCAGAATTCAACTGATAATAAGGGGCGGTTTGACAATTTTTGATAATTAAAAATTTTAGTTAAAAAATCAAAAAAAAAAAATCAATTCAATTCAATTCAATTCAATTCATACAAAAAAAATTCAAAGAAATCCTTCACCTTACCTTTTACACAATTTTTTTTTAGTAAAAAGTAATAAGTAAAAAAAAAAAAAAAAGTCATTTCTCAAATGATCCCAAAATTTTAGTTAAAATTCTTCCCATTCACCTTACCTTTCACCTTTCATTTCATATTATTTTAGTTAAAATGTCAAAAAATTAAATAAAAAGTCATTTCTTAAACGATTTCAAAATTTTAACTCAAGTAAAAAGATTGTCACATGTCAGGTTACATGTCAATTTTTTATTTCTTATAAATTTAGTTATATACAATTCAACTTTCTTACTATATCATTGTGGAAAAATTAAAAATTGAAAATCTGTTGTAGCAGCTTAAAAAAAAAACAACAACAAATGATGAATTCATCGATTTGACTTTTGAGTATATGGATCAGGGGCGGCTCCAAGGCTTGGTCAGGGGTGTCACCCGAACTCCCCGGCTGAATTTTTTTATTTATTTATTATATAAATATTAGATTTTAGGAAAAAAAATTAGTAATTGAACCCAGTAAAATACAATTTTGAACCCATAGTTTTAAGTCCTACTCTTTTAAACCCACCAATTTTGAACCCATATTAGATATTAGCATGTCTTTTTGCTTAAACAATAATATCAATATATTGAAATATTTTTGTTTATAATTTTAGAATTTAAATTAATTTGTTGATTTTTTTCTCCATAGGTGATATAATGATTAATGTAAATTTTCTGTAAGATATATGGTATTTAAGTTTTTGATTGACACCACTGACAAAAATTCCTAGAGTCGCCACTGATATGGATCTTGAATTTATATATATCTTTTGAAAAAACTTTTGCAGAAGTCAATTTGCGCAGAGGCGATAAGGATGCTGTAGCGCATATTGATTTTGCTGGTGAGGATCATCATATATTATAACTCAAACACTCAAATATCTTTTAGTATTTAGAATTTTTTTTTATAACCATTTTCCCTTTATTATTGTCTCCAGTTCATATCTGTAGGCTTAGCAGTTCAATTGGGTTCATGAAATTCACCATGTGTACATTGTATATTACTCTGATAACTTGATCTGTTTAATTTTGAGTTAATACCAATCATGCTTATTGAGACATGATTTGAGATATAAATCTTATCTTCCATATATCTTTTTGAATTTCAAAATTCAACAGATAATAAGGAGTCGTTTGACAATTAAAAATTTTAGTTAAAAAACTTAAAAATTTTAAAAAATTCAATTCATATAAAACAAAAACTCACCTTACTTTTTACATATTGTTTTCCTTAAAAAGTATAAAAAAAAATTCATTCCTTAATATATTAATTTGTTCACCTCATATTTTAGTTAAAATGTCAAAAAATAACTTAAAAAGTCATTTTTCAAACGATTCTAGAATTTTAACTCAAGTAAAAAGATTGTCACATGTCAAATTACATGTCAATTTTTTATTTCCGCAAACTTAATTATATAAAACTCAATTTTCTTGCTATATCATTGTGAAAAAAATTTAAAAAAATTAAAGCGAAAGTCTCTAGCAGTATAAAAAAAGAAGAAGAAACAACATATGATGAATTCATCAATTTGACTTTTGAGTAAATATATATTTTGAAAAAAGTTTTGCAGGAGCCAACATGCGCCTTATTTTGCTGGTAAGGATCATCAACTACATTATAACTCAAACACTCAAATATCTTTTAGTATTTACTTCTTCTTCTTTCTTTTTTTTAACCATTTTCCTTTTATTATTGTCTTCAATTCATATTTGTAGGCTTGGCAGTTCAATTGAATTCATGAAATCCACCATGTGTCTCACTCTAATAATTTGATCTGTTTAATTTAGAGTTTTTTTTGTGTCATGCATGGGAAAAAAATAATTAAACAATTGTAGTGACTTCTTTTTTTTCATCATATTTACCTTCAAAGAAATAGATAATAAGTATAATTTTACAAATAGATCGTCAATTTTTGCAAGGCAAATATGACGAAATAATATGACTATGACTAACAAAGCAACATATATATTTATTTTTTAAGGGGGAATAACTGAAAAGTCCTAGTAGGAACAAGGGTTTACCAAGAAGCTCGCTTGACTTTTTGATACACTAAAAAGTTCTACTCCCTTTTCATTTCTAAAACAAAATCTTATTTTTTATGTTTTTAGCAACGTTTTGAATAAAAATTGTCACTAATTGTTTATTTTTAACGACAATTAAAAAATTTGTTGCAAAAACCTCACTAGTTAACATTTTCTAGTAACAGATTTAGAAAAACACTACAAATTATAAGTTTCTAGTAAGGTGTGGACGTTGAGTTTTTAAGTTTGCCATTCTCCCCAAGTGGATATCAAAGATAAACACCATTATTCGAAGATAATTTTTATTTAGTCTAGATGGATATCAAAGATAAACACCATTATTCGAAGATAATTTTTAGTTAGTCTAACCATATGGATAGTTTTTATTTAACAAAATTCTTATTTGATAATTATACTAAAAATAGATCTAAAACATGTAAATACAAGATATAAATCAAGAAATTACAAATCGAAAGTGATAAAACTATTTACTACATGAGAAGACAACAAAAAAAAATTAAAAGAAAAATAAGATGAAAGAGCCAGTATGATACAATTAGTCTAATAACATTATAAAAAGAAGCAAGTCAAAACTAATAGTTTCGTGGTAGTATGGTACAACATGAAGATAGTATCACATGCTATAAGAGAAAATTCTAACATATAAAGTTTACAATTTTTTTTTTTCCAATAAAAACTACTCCTAATAATACAGCTAAAAAGGGTGAAAACGATGAAGACAAACACTCAAACATCTTTATAAAAAACCAAAATTTTAACTCAAGTAATTAGATTGTCACATGTCAAGTTACATGCCAATCTTTGATTTCTCACAAACTTAATTATATAAAACTCAACTTTCTTATGTGTAAAATTCAAAATTTTAAACTAAGAGTCTCTAGCAATTCAAAGAAAAAAGAACCCTGCAAATGATGAATTCATCAATTTCACTTTTGAGTACATGGATCTTGAATTTATAAGTTTAATTTGTTTATTGTTTTTTTTTATTGAAAAAACTTTTGCAGAAGCCAACGTGCGCAGAGGGGATAAGGATGCATCAGGGATTCAATATTTTGCGGGTGAGGATCATTAACTACATTATAAATAAAACACCCAAATATCTTTTATTTTATTTTTTTAAAATTCATATTGTACTCTCAACAGCTTAATTGCATTTATGAAATCCACCACATGTCTCACTCTGATAATGCGATCTGTTTTATTTGAAAGTTTTAACGTGTAGGTCGCTCATTGAAAAAAAAAAATGATTAGACAAATGTAGTGACTTTATGTAATTAAAATTTTATTTCAAAATAACCTTTGAAATATTAAATTTATCATTCAAAATATTGAAACCATACCTTTAAAATGAGTGTAATATTAAATATATTTAACAAAAATTAAAAATTAAACATTTATTAATGAGCAAATAATTATATAATTTATTAGTTACTGGTTGGAGAATCTGAATTCATCACCATCATTATGAAGATTAGTTAATTTTAATGAACATTTATTAATTTTGTTAATTTACATAATTTAGAATAGTTAATTTTGGAACGGAATATTTAGAGAAGAAAATAAAATACTATATATTCAATTTTTGAATAAAAAATTTTATTTTCATCCTCTGGTTAAGAATATTGGGTTGGGGATGCTAGTAGACAACCTATACCTCCTTTTCAATTAATCATGAAATTCCAAGCCTTGTTGGGCTTTCACAAAGTAGATCATCTAAAACATGCAAATACAAGATATAAATCAAGAAATAACAAATCGAAAGTGATAAAACTATTTACTACATGAGAAGACACACAAAAAAATAAAATAAAATGAAATAAATAAATAATAATAATAATAATAACAACAATAATAATAATAATAATTAAAAGAAAAATAAGATGAAAGAGCCAATATGATAAAGTAACATTATAGAAAGAAGCAAGTCAAAACTCGTAGTTTCATGGTAGTATGGTACAACATGAAGATAGCATCACATATTATAAGAGAAAATTTTAACATATAAAGTTTTAAAAAAAAAATTAAATAAAAAACTCTCCTAATAATACGATTAAAAAGGGTGAAATTGATGAACACAAACACTTAAACATCTTTATATAAAACCAAAATTTTAATTCAAGTAATTAGATTGTCACATGTCAAGTTACATGCCAATCTTTGATTTCTCACAAACTTAATTATATAAAACTCAACTTTCTTATGTGTAAAAATTAAAATTTTAAATATACAGTCTCTAGCAATTCAAAGAAAAAAGAACCCTACGAATGATGAATTCATCAATTTCACTTTTGAGTACATGGATCTTGAATTTATATGTTTTTTTTGTTTTTTTTTTTTTATTGAAAAAACTTTTGCAGAAGCCAACGTGCGCAGAGGGGATAAGGATGCATCAGGGATTCAGTATTTTGAGGGTGACGATCATCAACTACATTATAAATAAAACACTCAAATATCTTTTATTTTATTTTTTTTACACTATTATTGTCTCAAATTCATATTTGTAGACTCAACAGTTCAATTGGATTTATGAAATCCATCACGTGTCTCACTCTGATAATTTGATATGTTTAATTTAAAAGTTTTAATGTGTAGGTCGTTCATTGAAAAGAAAAAATGATTAGACAAATGTAGTGACTTTATGTAATTAAAATTTTATTTCAAAATAACCTTTGAAATATTAAATTTATCATTCAAAATATTGAAATCATACCTTTAAAATGAGTGTAATATTAAATATATTTAACAAAAAATTAAAAATTAAACATTTATTAATGTGCAAAAAATTATATAATTTATTAGTTACTGGTTGGAGAGTTGAATTCATCACCACCATTATGAAGATTTGTTAATTTTAGTGAACAAACATTTATTAATTTTGTTAAGTTACATAATTTTGAATAGTTAATTTTGGAAGGAAATATTTAGAAAAGAAAAGAAAATACTATATATTCAATTTTTGAATAAAAAAATTTATTTTCATCTCTGGTTGAGAATATTGGGTTGGGATGCTGGTAGGCAACATATACCTCCTTTTTAATTAATCAAAAAATTCCAAGCCTTGTTGAGCTTTCACAAAGTAGACCATCTAAAACATCTATATAATAAGATAATAAGTTTTTTGAAAATGTCTCGCACACATTTGTCTTACTAGGACATTTGGACGACTCAGATCTGTTCAAATTATAAAAAAAAATAACAATGATGTATCCTATTTTCCCGTTTTTCTCTCTTACTTTTTTCCTTTTCTCACCCACCCTCCTATGATCTCATAAATAATCTCATGAATGATCCCATGATCCCATCTTCCTCATTTTTTTTCTTTTATTTTTTTATTTTCCTCCTTATTTATTTCTTTTTTTTTTGTTTTCTCCTTTTTGTTCACTTATTTTTATTTACACTGTACCTTCAAGCACAGACACGGGCATGGGCATACACAAGTGTAAATACAAGATATAAATCAAGAAATAACAAATCAAAAGCGATAAAACTATTTACTACGTGAGAAGACACACAAAAATAATAGTAATAATAATAATAATAATAATAATTAAAAGAAAAATAAAATGAAAGAGCCAATATGATAAAAGTCATTAGTCTAATAACATTATAAAAAGAAGCAAGTCAAAACTTGTAGTTTCGTGGTAGTATGGTACAACATGAAGATAGCATCACATACTATACTAGAAAATTTTAACATATAAAGTTTACAAAAAAAAAAATTATATAAATAAAAGCCTCCCCTAATAATACGGTCAAAAAGGCTGAAATTGATGAACACAAACACTCAAACATCTTTATATAAAACAAAAATTTTAATTCAAGTAATTAGATTGTCACATGTCAAGTTACATGTCAATCTTTGATTTCTTACAAACTTAATTATATAAAACTCAACTTTCTTATGTGTAAAAATTAAAATTTTAAATTGAAACTCTAGCAATTCAAAGAAAAAAGAACCCTATGAATGATGAATTCATCAATTTGACTTATGAGTATATGGGTCTTGAATTTATATGTTTTATTTGTTTTTTGTTTTTCTTTTTAATTGAAAAAAACTTTTGCAGAAGCCAACGTGCGCAGAGGGGATAAGGATGCATCAGGGATTCAGTATTTTGAGGGTGAGGATCATCAACTGCATTATAAATAAAACACGCAAATATCTTTTATTTTATTTTTTTATACTATTGTTGTCTCAAATTCATATTTTTAGACCCAACAGTTCAGTTGGGTTTATGAAATCCACCACGTGTCTCACTCTGATAATTTGATCTGCTTAATTTGAAAGTTTTAATGTGTAGGTCGTTCATTGAAAAAAAAATGATTAGACAAATGTAGTGACTTTATGTAATTAAAATTTTATTTCAAAATAACCTTTGAAATATTAAATTTATCATTCAAAATATTGAAACCATACATTTAAAATGAGTGTAATATTAAATATATTTAACAAAAAATTAAAAATTAAACATTTATTAATGAGCAAAAACTTATATAATTTATTAGTTACTAGTTGGAGTGTCCGAATTCATCATCACCATTATGAAGATTTGTATATTTTAATGAACAAACATTTTTTAATTTTGTAAAGTTACATAATTTTGAATAGTTAATTTTGGAACGAAATATTTAGAGAAAAAAATAAAATACTATATATGAAAAAATACTATGTATTCAATTTTTGAATAGTAAAATACTATATATTCAAATTTTGAATAAAAAAATTTATTTTCATCCTCTAGTGGAGAATATTGGGTTGGGATGCTGGTAGACAACCTATACCTCCTTTTCAACTAATCATGAAACTCCAAGCCTTGTTGAGCTTTCACAAAGTAGATCATCTAAAACATGTAAATACAAGATATAAATCAAGAAATAACATATGGAAAGTGATAAAACTGTTTAATACATGAGAAGATAAACAAACAAAAAAAAAATTAAGAAAAATAAGATGAAATAGCCAATATGATAAAAGTCATTAGTCTAATAACATTATAAAAAAAAGCATGTCAAGACTAGTAGTTTCATGGTAGTATGGTACAACATGAAGATAGTATCACATACTATAAGAGAAAATTCTAACATATAAAGTTTATAATTTATTTATTTTTTAAACAAAAACCTCCCCTAATAATACGGTTAAAAAGGGTGAAAATGATGAACACAAACACTCAAACATCTTTATATAAAACCAAAATTTTAATTCAAGTAATTAGATTGTCACATGTTTAGTTACGTGTCAATCTTTGATTTCTCACAAACTTAATTATATAAAACTCAACTTTCTTATGTGTAAAAATTAAAATTTTAAATATACAGCCTCTAGCAATTCAAAGAAAAAAGAAACCTACAAATGATGAATTCATCAATTTGACTTTTGAGTATATGGATCTTGAATTTATATGTTTTATTTGTTTTTTTGTTTTTGTTTTTTAATGAAAAAACTTTTTCAGAAGCCAACGTGCGCAGAGGGGATAAGGATGCAACAGGGATTCAGTATTTTGTGGGTGAGGATCATCAACTACATTATAAATAAAACACTTAAAAATATCTTTTATTTTATTTTTTTACACTATTATTGTCTCAAATTCATATTTGTAGACTCAACAGTTCAATTGGGTTTATGAAATCCAACATGTGTGTCACTCTGATAATTTAATCAATTTAATTTGAAAGTTTTAATGTGCTAGTCATTGAAAAAAAAATGATTAGACAAATGCAGTGACTTTATGTAATTAAAATTTTATTTCAAAATAACCTTTGAAATATTAAATTTATCATTCAAAATATTGAAACTATACCTTTAAAATGAGTGTAATATTAAATATATTTGACAAAAAATTAAAAATTAAACATTTATTAATGGGCAAAAAATTATATAATTTATTAGTTACTGGTTGGAGAGTCTGAATTCATCACCACCATTATGAAGATTTGTTAATTTTAGTGAACAAACATTTATTAATTTTGTTAAGTTACATAATTTTGAATAGTTAATTTTGGAACGAAATATTTAGACAAGAAAAAAAATACTATATATTCAATTTTTGAATAAAAAAATTTATTTTCATCCTCTGGTTGATAATATTGGGTTGGAGATGCTGGTAGACAACCTATACCTCCTTTTCAATTAATCTTGAAATTCCAAGCCTTGTTGAGTTTTCGCAAAGTAGACCATCTAAAACATGTAAATACAAGATATAAATCAAGAAATAACAAATCAAAAGTGATAAAACTATTTACTACATGAGAAGACACAAAAATAATAATAATAATAATACTAATTAAAAGAAAAATAAGATAAAAGAGCCAATATGATAAAAGTCGTTAGTCTAATAACATTATAAAAAGAAGCAAGTCAAAACTAGTAGTTTCATGGTAGTATGGTACAACATGAAGATAGCATCATGTACTATAAGAGAAGATTCTAACATATAAAGTTTAACAAAAAAAAAAAAGAAAATTAAATAAAAACCTCTCCTAATAATACGGTTAAAAAGGGTGAAAATGATGAACACAAACACTCAAACATCTTTATATAAAACCAAAATTTTAATTCAACTAATTAGATTGTCAAATGTTTAGTTACGTGTCAATCTTTGATTTCTCACAAACTTAATTATATAAAACTCAACTTTCTTATGTTTAAAAATTAAAATTTTAAATATACAGCCTCTAGCAATTCAAAGAAAAAAGAACCCCACAAATGATGAATTCATCAATTTGACTTTTGAGTATATGGATCTTGAATTTATATGTTTTTTTGTTTTTGTTTTTCAATGAAAAAACTTTTGTAGAAGCCAACGTGCGCAGAGGGGATAAGGATGCAACAGGGATTCAGTATTTTGCGGGTGAGGATCATCAACTACATTATAAATAAAACACTCAAAAATATCTTTTATTTTATTTTTTTACACTATTATTGTCTCAAATTCATATTTGTAGACTCAACAGTTCAATTGGGTTTATGAAATCCACCATGTGTGTCACTCTGATAATTTAATCAGTTTAATTTGAAAGTTTTAATGTGCAGTCGTTCATTGAAAAAAAAAAAAAGTGATTAGACAAATGTAGTGACTTTATGTAATTAAAATTTTATTTCAAAATAACCTTTGAAATATTAAATTTATCATTCAAAATATTGAAACCATACCTTTAAAATGAGTGTAATATTAAATATATCTAACAAAAAATTAAAAATTAAACATTTATTAATGAACAAAAACTTATATAATTTATTAGTTACTGGTTGGAGAGTCTAAATTCATCACCACCATTATGAAGATTTGTAAATTTTAATGAACAAACATTTATTAATTTTGTGAAGTTACATAATTTTGAATAGTTAATTTTGGAACGAAATATTTGGAGAAGAAAATAAAATACTATATATTCAAATTTTGAATAAAAAAATTTATTTTCATCCTCTGGATTGGGGATGCTGGTAGACAACCTATACCTCGTTTTCCACCAATCATGAAATTCCAAGCCTTGTTGAGCTTTCACAAAGTAGATCATCTAAAACATGTAAATACATGATATAAATCAAGAAATAACAAATCGAAAGTGATAAAACTGTTTACTACATGAGAAAGCAAAAAAAAAAAAAAATTAAAAGAAAAATAAGATGAAAGAGCCAATATGATAAAAGTCATTAGTCTAATGACATTATAAAAAGAAGCATGTCAAAACTAGTAGTTTCGTGGTAGTATGGTACAACATGAAGATAGTATCACATACAATAAGAGAAAATTCTAACTTATAAAGTTTATAATTTATTTTTTAAAAAAAATAAAAACCTCTCCTAATAATACGGTTAAAAAGGGTGAAAATGATGAACACAAACGCTCAAACATCTTTATATAAAACCAAAATTTTATATTCAAGTAATTTGATTGTCACATGTCTAGTTACGTATCAATCTTTGATTTCTCACAAACTTAATTATATAAAACTCAACTTTCTTATGTGTAAAAATTAAAATTTTAAATATAGAGTCTCTAGCAATTCAAAGAAAAAAGAAACTTACAAATGATGAATTCGTCAATTTGACTTCTGAGTATATGGATCTTGAATTTATATGGTTTTTTTTTTTTTTTTTTCATTGAAATTTTTTTTGCAGGAGCCAACGTGCGCAAAGGGGATAAGGATGCATCAGGGATTCAGTATTTTGAGGGTGAGGATCATCAACTACATTATAAATAAAACACTCAAATATCTTTTATTCTATTTTTTTATACTATTGTTGTCTCAAATTCATATTTTTAGACACAACAGTTCAGTTGGGTTTATGAAATCCACCACGTGTCTCACTCTGATAATTTCATCTGCTTAATTTGAAAGTTTTAATGTGTAGGTCATTAATTGAAAAAAAAATGGTTAGACAAATGTAGTGACTTTATGTAATTAAAATTTTATTTCAAAATAACCTTTGAAATATTAAATTTATCATTCAAAATATCGAAACCATACCTTTAAAATGAGTGTAATATTAAATATATTTAACAAAAAATTAAACATTTATTAAAGAACAAAAAATTATATAATTTATTAGTTACTGGTTGGAGAGTCTGAATTCATCACCACCATTATGAAAATTTGTTAATTTTAATGAACAAACATTTATTAATTTTGTTAATTTACATAATTTTGAATATTTAATTTTGGAAGAAAATATTTAGAGAATAAAATAAAATACTATATATTCAATTTTTGAATAGTAAAATACTGTATTGAATTTCTAAATAAAAAAATTTATTTTCATCCCTGGTTGAAAATATTGGGTTGGGGTTGGAGATGCTGGTAGACAACCTATGCCTCCGTCTTAATTAATCATGAAATTCCAAAGCCTTGTTGAGCTTTCACAAAGTAGATCCTAGTCATACAAATCAACTCAATAAAATCCTTCATGCTGGCTTAAACACAAGAAAATCAGTTTTTTTAATTAAAGGCCTTTCTAATTAAATTCACCACCGAAACGAATTTATCTTGTCTTATTTTTTTTAAAAAAAAATTTCATTGAAAAAACTTTTGCAGAAGCCAACATTAATCCTCAACTACATTATATCCCCAATGAAACAATATTTTTCTTGGAGGAGGACATCAAACAAGGCACAAAGATGAACTTGGACCTCTCTAAAGAAGCAAATGGAGTAACATTCTTACCTCGAACAATTTCTCAGTCGATGCCGTTTTCATCGAAAGAGTTTCCTAAAATTCTGAACCGGTTTTCTGTGAAACCCAATTCAGCAGAAGCCAAGATTATGAAAAAAACAATCGAAGATTGCGCAGAGATGCGCCTTTAAAGGAGAGCAGAGATATTGTGCAACCTCATTAGAGTCGATGATTGATTTCTGCACTTCCATGCTTGGCAAAAGAGTGAAGGCATTGTCGACAGAGTTGGAAAAAGAGACTCAATTGAGGAAGTATAGTGTTGTGGGATTCAAGAAGATTGGTGGTGGTGAAGTGGCAGTGTGTCATATGCACAAGTATCCTTATGCGGTGTTTACTTGCCACAATGTGCACTCGACCAGAGTGTATATGGTTTCATTGGAAGGTGCAGAAGGGGGCGGGAGGAAAGTGAAAGGTGTGGCGGTGTGTCATACAGATACAGCAGCCTGGAATCCCAACTTCGAGGCTTTTCAAACGCTCAAGGTCAAACCAGGAACTGTCCCTATTTGCCATATTCTTCCGGAAGATAATATTGTCTGGCTTCCTAACTAAATCTGTCTATATATATATATATATATATTGTGGTTTTAAATAATGTGTCGGCATATATATTGATATCAGCTATACGGGTTACATATCGACTGATATCAAATAATATTGGCCGATATATTAATGAATAACAGTATCGAAAGTCAAAAATCCCGATACGTAACAACGATGTTTAAAACCTATATGTATATAATCGATGCCTATTATATAGTGCCATATGTTTGTTTGTGTAATTATTTAATGTTACTATATATTAATTAATAACTTCAACCAACTATATATGCTTATGAATAAATGTATTCTGCAGCTTGTTGAAATGTTTATCTTATCATATTACTCGGTAAGAGATATCTGTTTTGTTCCCAACACGTCTTAACAAAAATGAAAAATAAAAACAACAAAGTCTGACAAGAAGTTGCCCTGAAAGTGACTTGGAAACAAACCCCAATCAATGTGAAATAACAGCAAAATTCAGTTGAAAGTTGAAAGGGAAAATCCCATGAATCTTGCAGAATTGTAGTTGTATTACTCTGGACATGTTTGTTCTAATGCATATGTAGCTCGCTACTACAAACTTCAACAATTACATGTTACCAAATCATGAAATCAGCAAGCCGGAAAAAAAGTCTTCCTAGACAACAGTTTCTCAAGGAAAATGAACGATAAAAGATGAGAAATGAAATTAAAAGTTAATGACAACACGTGAAATACTACAATCTCTTGCGACACAAAATGGGCAAGTAACAAGAATAGTGACAATCATATACAATTTAAATATCACCAATGATTGCAAAAGTTGTTCACGTTATCATGGCTTCACAAATGAGCAAATGAACAAATCTCTCTCTCTCTCTCTCTCTCTCTCTCTCTCATTGTACACATTTTGGATAAGAGGTAGAAGCATCTAAACAAAATGATAACTGTTTGACTACGGATGCTAAGCACTGCTAGAGTTTCACATATAAAGAATGAAACAATTGCAAACCGCGTGGGGAGGAAAAGGCGGGAGAAAACAAACTTTTTATAATAATTACGTGTATTAAATCTCCTCAGCATCCAGCAGCTTTGAGGAATTTGTCGTAGGGACTCGAAGGCGGAAGTCTGAGAGACTGTTGCTGCCCATACTCGAGTGAACAAGCAAGAACCTTCTCTCCTCCTCTTTGAACTGGCTCAATGTTTATCAACTTGAGATCCTCTTCTGAAAGCTCCATTGTCTGAAAGAGAAGCCCACAAAGAAAACTTCAAAAATACTTCTCATGTGAGAAAATACAAAAAAAATCTAGCCTCGTGTTGCACTTTTAAATTCCAATAATAGACAACGGCAGACAGATGTTGCATTCCTAGTCTGAGAACTGAGGTTTGGGCAGAAATTTATTTTATTCCATAAAAGAGAGTTCAGCTTCTGTTTTTTTTTTTAAAAAAAAAAAAAAGAAATAGTTGGGAACCTTTGAAGTGGGCAACAACTCCATAATAGCTCTGACAACAATAAAAGGGGGGCAAAAGAAAAAGGGTTTGAATATAGTCAACGAAACCATGAGCAATCCTTGTTTTTAATGTCTACTAGAAGGTGCACACCCACAAGGGTGTTCTTGAAATCGGCTTGAAGGATCCATGGGTGTGCTTGAAATTGGCAGTTGCAGTTACAAAAGGGTAGTTTAGGAATAACAAAAGTTGTGACAAAATTATTCATACCAAATTCAGTGTACACTTTATATAATAGTATAGAAAAGTAATACAGAAACCTACTTTTTGACAAAACAAGACGAGACTAATGCCCACATATGATCCCATGGCCAACCAAAAAGATTTAAATGTCATAATGAAGGTTAATGGTATTGTCCAAGACCTTCTAATGAATGAGTTCATAATTCTCCTAAGCTTTGATAGTTTTTTTAAAAAGTAAGGAGGGGTAGGTATAAATTCAGAAACTATTTTACCAGCAATGACGAAAAATCAATTTCTCTTCTTCATAAGAAAATAACAAGAAGGTGGGGAAATAAAGAACAAAACAAATTCTCACCACATTTGGCATTTTATTTTCATGTTCATTGGCAAGAACTATAGCCTTCGCATCCTGTTGTAGCTTGAAACTCTGAAGAACTGACATCTTCTGCTGTTTACCCATTACAAGAGACTCGCACTGATTCTTCACTTGGTCGTAAGGAATGGGTGTAGAGGACACTGGTAAGCTTGCAACTTGCCGGGCTGTTTCCAGAACCTGTTGGTGATTTATACCCATATTATATTTCATGGATATGAGACTGATACAAACCTTTTCCATAAAAAGAATGAAAGTTGAAACCATAGAAAATGAATACATGACCTACAGAGGCTATGAAGTTCAAATTGTCAATCAGAAGCTATGAAACAAACCTTTGTTTCTCTATAACATTCTCCTATAACTAGATACTAATGTCTTCTTACATTGTTTAATCTGACGGTGAGAATCAATTTCAATTGCTACACTCATGCAGCACTTTTATAGTTTCAAGTTTGCATCCCACATGATTGAGTAAACATGAACATATATGTCACAAAACCATGTTCATTTCTATTGATATTAATTTTAGTGACCCTTGGTTTTATTATCTTATGCAGTCGAGTGATTTAAGTCATTGGACGGTTAGAACATTGTTTAACTACCTTACTAGCTTGTTATTGGTCCTCCCCATGAGCTTCTATTTATACCAGGTTTCATGAGCATATAAACACATTGACCATTCTACCCAATATTCAAAATAAGAGTCTCATAATATATTCAAGCAAATGAAAACCCGTAAGCAACGATTGAAGATATGGCTTTTTTGGCCATCAGCACCTTTGGAGCTGATTAATATGCATTTTTAATTAAAAGTTTCAGGTAGTTGGAACAAATTTCAAATTATCATTTTCTTAACCAGAACAATACAGATCAGGTTGATAGACACCAAAAGTTACAAGAGCATAAACTGTAGTAACTAGCAGAAATGAGACACTAGAAAGACTCCACATTGCTTTCATTTCTACAAAGTACACATCTTAGATTCAACTATGTAAGACATATCACAACAAATAATTAAAAAAAGAAATGAAAAAACTTACAGATTCCAAGAGCTGGTTAACACTTAGAATGTCAAGTGAATTGATGGAAAGTGATGTTTTGCGACCTGATTGGCTTCCATTTGGTTCAGGGAAGGATTCATCATCTGTCAAGGCATCTAGAGGCATGACCTGAACGAAACCAAATCATGGAAGTCAAAGTCTGTCACATATAATGTATGCCATACCCAACAAAGCTGGAAATATAACGTGGCCAAACATTACCTCATCAAATGCCTGAGCCTCCATCTGGGCAAGTGGAGAAGGCGGCCGAGGTGTCTCCAAGAATAATGGAGCTCCCATTGGATATGCATCATCAGGTGAAAATCCCTCCAAAAGTTGCTTCCTTATGCCCGATAATTCATCCTGGAGAACAAATATAACATATAACTTCAAACAAAAATTGTTACAGAAACCCTTACACAAACAAAATCTTGGAAGGTTAAAAAATGAAGTGATCACCAACCTACTTCAGTGGTGTGGTGGAGTGTGTGGGAGCAGCGTACCTTTAATCAAACAAAAATTTTATTCATTTTTAGTCCCTGCCCTAGGCTATTTAAAAAGCTTAAAAGATGAGGTGATCAATGACACCACCTACTTCAGCAGTGTGGTGTAGTGTGTTGAAAACAGGAAGCCTTGAGCTTGGTTTAGTAATGATCATTCACTTAGCTAATGAACTGAGCTTGAGCTTGAATTTCAAACTCATTTCTCAAATAAGTAGAGCCTAAACATACCCGAGATTGGCTTGCCAGGTTTGTGAATAGTTACATTTGAATGTAACACAATATAATGATATACTATTAGTCTATGATATACATGCCAAGGCTCAAAGCTAGTATCTACGGTCCTTCTTCCTCCACGCTTACATATTCTTAGCAATTAGATGATGCTCAATCCAACAATCATCCAATCGAAAAAAGGGTTCTGAGAAAACCGAACAGCCCTACATGGAGAAAGATGCAGTTTCTTTATATATGAGATATAATTATTTTTCTTAAACCTTTCCTAGAAGGATTTTTCCCCCTCTACAACCTTTTTTTATTTCCTAATTCGAAGAAAGATACATATAAGACAAGGTTTTCTAGAAATATTTCATGGTTCAAGCCTTCAATTTCGGGTCCGGTCCTTTTAAATTCAGTTCGGCTTGCCCTCGTAGTAACCAAGCTAAACCAAGTTGAGCTTGAACTTGCTTAAAACCAGCTGAGCCAAGTTGGAATCTCCTGCAAGTTCAAGCCCAGCTTGAATGAACTCCTTGATTGACTAAGCAAAGCCTGACAGGTAAGTACAAGGTTTTGGGCTCATCTTAATTAGTTTGCAGCCCTACCAGGAATATATGCTCTAAAAAAACTTTATGCATCTTTTTCCAGAATCAGTACCCGATGACTGAAAATATAGAAGATCAAGGAAACAAGGATTGGTAAATTACCTCTGACAGTTTCGCCAACTTTGTCATGAGGTGCGATAGAACAGTTTCTCTCAATTGATGCTTACATATTCTTAGCAATTAGATGATGCTCAATCCAACAATCATCCAATCGAAAAAAGGGTTCTGAGAAAACCGAACAGCCCTACATGGAGAAAGATGCAGTTTCTTTATATATGAGATATAATTATTTTCTTAAACCTTTCTTAGAAGGATTTTTCCCCCTCTACAACCTTTTTTTATTTCCTAATTCGAAGAAAGATACATATAAGACAAGGTTTTCTAGAAATATTTCGTGGTTCAAGCCTTCAATTTCGGGTCCGGTCCTTTTAAATTCAGTTCGGCTTGCCCTCGTAGTAACCAAGCTAAACCAAGTTGAGCTTGAACTTGCTTAAAACCAGCTGAGCCAAGTTGGAATCTCCTACAAGTTCAAGCCCAGCTTGAATGAACTCCTTGATTGACTAAGCAAAGCCTGACAGGTAAGTACTAGGTTTTGGGCTCATCTTAATTAGTTTGCAGCCCTACCAGGAGTATATGCTCTAAAAAAACTTTATGCATCTTTTTCCAGAATCAGTACCCGATGACTGAAAATATAGAAGATCAAGGAAACAAGGATTGGAAAATTACCTCTGACAGTTTCGCCAACTTTGTCATGAGGTGCGATAGAACAGTTTCTCTCAATTGTTTGTCACCTAATTCTATTGTTGAAAGGGACTTTAAAGCAGCAACTTCATCTTCCTGTGATTCATAGCCTTTGGCTTCATCAAACGAAACAGCGTGCAGTCTGATATCTTCCATCAACTTAAGATAAGGATCAACCTGCCAAAAGGGAGAACTATTTGCATAAATAAAAACATAGAATTAACAGAGAGATATCAAAAGCAAATAGCACAAATTATTATTTCACTTCAAAAATAAATAGGAAATAGTTAAATGAGCCTATATCTGAAGATAAGGAGTTGAAGTTACTGTTTCATCTGTCAAAGACGATTTAATAAGAGGAATTAACTCAGGAAGATTGCCCGCCCTGGCTGAAAATATAAGCATGCATGATGCCATAGTGAAGAGAGACCTTCTGCGAGATGGTTGCAAACCTCCTTCAATACGCATGCAAGAAATTTAGATAAGAGAAATAATTCACCACATTAATAATGTGTGTAAATTCCAATAAAAAGGTTTCACTCCCTAAAAAAAATAACTTGATGAAAGCATTCTCTCCCTTAATTTCTAAATTAGTGTTTGGCTGTTAAAATTATTAATTTTTTAAGGATAATTACCAATAGGTCCTATTGAGTGGACTTATTTACTCACAAGTCCTAAGTGTTTTTTTTTATATACTTATTTTCCCCTTGTTTTGAGGGTTAGAAATTTTTGAGACTATTTAGATGTGTTTTGTGTTTGTTGAATGATTATTTGGTACTGGTAAACATACTAATAAATTTATCAAAGTGATAAATGAATGCGATAATTTGGCTTTTGTTTATGAGTTTTGATTTATTTTTAATTTATTTGTGTTAGTTTATATTGAAATATGATGTGAAAAATGTAAGTGGTTGAAATATAATTTTTTTTTTTAATAAAAAAATTACAATGATAAATTTATCACTGAAAATTGGAGTAGGACTTTTTAGTAAATAAGTCCGATCCACACGACCTGCTCTTAATTGGCCCAATTTTTTTGCTATCTTCTTTTTGTATTTGTAATTATTATAGGAAAACTTGTCTTCTTGCGATTGTGCTAGTAGCATACCCACAATTTCTGCTATTGACGAAGACAAACAACTCTGATATAATGGTTTATGATTAATGAAATTGTGTTTTTTTTATATTGAATAAATTTTAAATTATAGATTGAGTGATTTTTTCGTGATGATTTATTATTAGTTTTTCATTATGTTTAATTGATTGTGGATGCAATTAATATTTTAACAAATAAAAATATATAAAATCATATTTTCCTATTTCCTATTGTATCCCTGCAGTGTCCATATCCTGAGTTTTGGGAAATTGCCATGTCCCTTGTCTATAATTTTTTCATGATCAATTAGTGTTAGTTTTTCATTATGTTTAGCTATTCATGGATATAATATTCATATACATAACAAATAAAAATATTTTCTTTTATTATATCCCTGCCGTGTCCGTATCTTGAGTCTTAGGAAATCGTTGTGCCTATCTGTGTTCATATCCGTGCTTCTTAGTTTTCATCATTTCTGATAAACCAAATATAAAATGGAAGGAATTCATCCAGAAACATGTTTGACAGGGAGAACCGTTTCAACCATCTTGACTATCCAACTCATTTTCTTTTGAATTTAAGACAACATTCTAATACAAAGTCCGGCAAAGCATATAAAAGAAGATGCTCTCTCTCTCTCTCTCTCTCTGTGCCAATTGAAATTTTAAAAAAGTTCCTGTCTTGTTACAATTACTCCTTAAAGCAAGTGAGTGAACTGTCCTTGACATCAACTCAATGAGTACCTGACTTTTTCCATTTAAATTCAAGAAAAGATTAACTTCTTCTAATTAGTACCTTTTTTCTCTATAAATAATACATTTGTGTGTGTGTGTGTGCACGTCTCATGAGGGTAACCGCTGCAAGTACAGTTACTGACTTTATGTCATGGACTGCCCTATTTATCAAGTCAACATTTAAGTTTATTTGTTTAAACTTATGTAAGAAGTTCACAACATTTTATAGTTACATTCAGCTCACCTTCTTGATCTAGAGAGATACTCCTTAGAGAGAATGCCAACTGGAAACACCGAACTAGAGCCATGTGACTTGAGTTCTGTTAGGAGCAAGATGAATCATCATGCAAGTTGAGAAAACATCAGAACAGTAAGATCAAAATGAAAGTTCAAATACTAATAATCATGGATCACAAAAGCACAGGAAAAGACTAGTCAAATAAATAGTGACAATTTTTTAGAGTAACATCTTCAGGGGAATAATTGGCTACAATGGAACGTAAATCAAATCACTATAAACATAATTATTACTAATTGAAGCAAAGGAGTACAATAGAGATGACACCTCCAAGAAAATTCTAAGGACCACCAAAATAAATATAGAGGCATTGCGGTACCCACTAAAACTGCCCACATAGGGCATATCAGCTTCCACATTAGCCTACTTAAGAATCCAAAAGAAAAAGATACTTCTTATTATCAAGACTAAAAAAATTACTCTCACTGCTCATAGGATTCAAAACCTTGAATTACGTAACAAAGTTGCCACAGGTGAGAAGCTCATTAGAACTCTGGTTTTAAGAGTGTTAGAAGAATCATTTTTGACAATCAAATAACTCAAATCTCTGAAAGCAGGCTTTCACAACTTTTAAAGTAAAGCTAGTACTAGTAGTGAAGTAAATACAGTATTCTATTTCCACGAAACTTCTTTCCAGATTCACTGAATGTATATTGTAGATACAATTTTATCTTAGAGTTATTTTCCCAAGCAACTGGAATCTTTTCAATATAGAATTCTTAATCCAGAAAAAAGAAGAAAAAAAAGTACATATAAAGAAATTCCAAGGGATAAGTATCAAAATGGTAGAAACAATATATATAAGTAAACAGCACCATGAGGATACCTTATTCCGGGTAAATAATAAAGTGACATTATATGTGTGGGCCATCGCTTCAAAATTTGCAGGGGTATTTTCTGTGGATGTCGCCTGCACCCAGATTGCTGAAAGCAGGAGACTCACTTGGTGACTACTCAATCGGAGGGCAGTCAGATCCTGAAGAAGATTAGATAGATAAATCACTCAAAAAAGATCATTAGAAAAATGACAATAATCACAGTAAGGCAAAACCAAATGATAGATTGTGTTGCAACTTTCAAAGACTTGTGACATACTGCTTTTCCATTGACCATAGCATTCTTGAAACTAAATGATCGACCACGAGATGGACATTTTATAGATTGAGTCACGCCATTATCCAAAACTTGACTGACTTCCTCCTTGGGTTTGTCATTGCTTTCATCCTGAATCGAGAAACTTCCATTCTTTATCCTCTCTGAAGCAATTGGCGAAAACCCCAGGAGAGCTTGTGCAGGTCCTCCATTACGAACTAACCAAGGACAAATAAGAGATGGCATAAGCACAATGGAGAAAACATGGTGTGCCCCTACTCTTGTTTCGTGGTCTGGGTGGGACATTGCTAAAAGTAACTGGTGAAATAGAGCATCAGGAAAGGCCTGAAGCAAGAAATTATGCCGCAGGGTTAGATGATTTTTATAAACTGAAAACATAGCAACATATTGCTATATGAGGAAATCGAATCTTGCCTTCTTGTTATATGAAACATTAGGAATGGAAGAAATAAGTTGTGCAGTCCGGTAAACAGCGAATATTGTTGCTTTAGATACAACAGCATTACTTGGGATGTTCTCTAGTGCCACAGCCATCATATCAAGAATGGGCCCAGCATCGCCAACCTGTTAACAACACAATTGACATTAAGTTAGAATCATGCACCAAATATGGTAGTTATATTACACCAGCTGGTATCATATTTTAACCTGTCCCTTCTCAAGTTTACTTATTTCAGTAATGTTAGACAGAAACAACCACAGGGAGTTTTGTGTTTATATTTGAACATTAGGGAGGTTATGCGCACATGAGCCAAACCACAAGAGGGTAAAGTCAAAATTTCCTTTCTTTTTTCCTTGTGTTTCCGAAATATTTCTGTTTCAAAGTTGACTGAAACAGATCCTTGCTCACGGGTTTACTTCTTAATAGTGGATTGTTGAGATTTTATGTGTTGTCTAAGTATGTTCAGAAAATTAAAAACAAAGGATAAATCTGATACAACTTAATCCTAAGGGGTGAAACTTCCCCACTTCCACATGAAAAAACCACACCAGGGCTAAAACTTTCCCCCACTACAACCAGACCCAGGTTCCACAGTTTTTTGTTACAACCTATTAATTCCATAACTTACCTCTTTCACTACCACAACTGATGAAATTACATAGAGATATGCATACAAGAATAGTCACGACAATTACCTAATTGCCTAGCACCTCTCCATTTCTCAGTTTCAAAAGGTATTACTAGACAAAATAAACAGGGCTTTTGGAATTTGACCATCAACAGAGTTCTTGCTAGTTAAATGAGTTGGAAAAACTCATACAGATTTTTCATGTACTAGACATGCACAATGAATGAGCAAAGTTGACCTATATAAGCATGGCTTGAAATTCCATAGGCTCCCAAAAATCAACTGCAGTTCAGAAGTAACGGAAATTGGAAATAGCATACACATAACGATCTTTAGGGTCTAATATTTCATAATCTGCCGAAGTTAGATTCCACTCTTCAAATTTTTAAAGTAGTCATTCAAGATGAAGCTTGAAACACATCTAAAAGCCATTTACAAACCTTATTTGCGAGTTGCAAGATGCATTTTTCTAATGCTGACTGAAGATCAGTGTTCCACTTGTCCGAGCTATCACTAGGGCTTGATGCTTCAGCTGAACATTGCATGCATTTGCGTAACTGTTTCATCAGTTCAGTTATTGCACCAATGATTGCAACTGAGGCCTCCAGCTTTGCATTCTGTGCAAGTTGTGTGGTGACATTAACAATACGTATCTGTTTAATGGGCTGTTTGACAATATTCTTATGATCCAAGTGCTTGACCAAAATAGATAACAAAAGATGAGAATTTATCCCTGGTGTTAACAAAAAAATAAAAATGAAAGGGAAGCAATCAGAATCACATACATACTCGTTTACAGAATATTTAAGGAAAAGAGGGACTATAATTCCAAATGTAACCTGATTCCTCCAACAGCAACTGTATATATGTCAAAATAGAACAGGCAAGTCCTTTCTCTGAGGACCAATGATTTTCAGCATCAAAACTATGAAAAAGAGGTTCAAGTAAACGCCGCACAGTTGTAGCTTCCTTTGCCAATCTGGCCATATTATACAAGCAAACCCTAGACCAGTAAGAGGGACTTTGAGATGCATCCCTGTTCAAGTGACAAGAATCGAAGGATGTCAACAACAACAAATTATTTCCTAAAACGCAAAGAAACTTACATGGACACCCCCTCAATTAAAACACCTTACATTTGGATCCTTCAACCATAAAATTGAATTGCTTTCACCCCACCAAAGGGGGGTTTATTTGTACAATTTTTATGATTGAGGGGGTCCAAAGTATGGTTTCTTAGTTGAGGGGAATTGAATGATATTCAGTGATAGTTGAGAGGGTTAAGTGATATTCAGTGATAGTTGAGAGGAATATTATATTCTTATAAATTATGGGGCCTTACATTGTGGGATCCAATTCAGGTTTGAAATTGACAAGGTTTTGCACAGAGGGAACATTCTTGCCAATATCTGAAAATGATGAGGCACGATCCTCTGCTTTAAGAACTCCCAGATTAGAGTTTTCAGGGTTTACCAGGAGATCCGTGTAATTCTCCAAAGTCACTGATATAATCTATTTTAGAATGAAAACAATATTCAAATTTATACCAAAAGCCAACAAATGCAAATTGTCAGTGAAATTCATGATCTAACTTCCAATTTTAAACAAACTTGCTCATAGTCTTGCAACAAATCTGTTGCAAGCCCTTAATACGCTGTTTGTTTGTGTAGAATTATAATTGAGAATACCAAAAGAGAAAAGGAGAACTTACAGTGTCAAAGTCCATTGATATATGAGAGTGCTCCCCCATGAACCACACCTATGGACATAATCATGATGAAAAAAACAAAGTGATTTTAAGAAATAAGAGAAGAGCATAAGCCAAGTAACAGAAGACAACCCGGAAAGAGCTGGAGAGAGAAGAAAAAATGTAACAGTGAAAGAGCAATATATTAGTAAAATTAAGTATTAAGAGGGATGAAAACCAAACCACAGTTACAAATGGAAAATCATCATTTAAGAAACTATCAACTAAAGGAAAATAAATAAAAACTATAACAATTAGCTGGTCTCATAGGATATTTGGTAACAACAGAATATTTCAGCATTCCAAAATAGTCTCAGAGCTTCCAAGGGAGTAAGAAGTTCAATATTACAGAGGAAGCCAAACAGTGTTGTTCCTCACCCTGACGGGAAAACACCTCTCAAGCTTTTTAACAACTTCAATTCTTCCAAATTTAGTAATAATGCTTTGTAAAGAAAAGATATGGACAGTTTTTGGCCTTCAATTACCATGTCAGTTATATAAACTGTTTGTTTTGGCAAGGAAGATGACCACTCGATTGAATGTTCCAATATGCCTCAATGATGTGGATGTGATCCATTCACCAGTATTGCATGGACCCAAGAAAACCCGAAACAACAAACATAACCCCTAATTAGGGCTGTTTTGGCAAATACGCTTAAGTAGCCAAAAAACCACTACAAAAAAAGTCAACTATTCCTTCTATTTTTCTGTACATCTTTTCGTAAAAAGCCAACTAACATAGCCAATTCCCAAAGCAACCCTTAGAATATGAAGAATTAGTGTCAAAGATAAGGAAGACTGTATTGTGTAACACAACCTAGTGAAGATTAGAAAGAGGGACATTAATGCACAAAACATTATTCACTTGGATGATCCATCACCAAATAACATCAAGATTGAGAAAGATTTGAAATCTCAATTTTGTAACCTTTGATTAGATTTTCAGTTTTGTATTTGTGCCTTTTCATCTACATAGCAAACATCAACTTTCTATTTCGTTGGGTTTGTTGTGTTTGAAATTGAAACATAACAACTACTTGATCGCAAATAAATGATTCTACAAAGTGCTTATGGAAAGAACATGTCCTTGTGTCAATTTAAAAAGTAAGGGATGTTTCTCTAGCAAATTCCTGACACACATCATTAGGAACATGAAATTCAATAACCACATTTTTCCAATGCTTGCATGTGCTCTACTGGATGGTGAGGGATACAACCACCACATGTCTATATAGGCCATCTGAAACAAAAGTTGCAGAAAATTGTTTTTTTTCTTTTTTGGTGTATAGCAACAAAAAAATAATATTATAATTATTTGACAACATTTTATGTTTGTCATTAGTTGTCCTGTTGCATGCAAAAACAAGCATCCATGAATCCAATAATAGAAAAATAATCTTAGCATGATTCCTTACATCACCAACCAATATAGGAATTGCGGTGATAATATATGCCTAATCCATGTGCAACACAAGTGCAATTCCACTAGTTATAAAATAAAAGTATAGATGGTCAACACTTCTACCTATTTTCATGGTAATAACATAGTACCTTCAATAATCACAATTAGCTCGGAAGACAAAAGATAATCTCATAAGAAACACATACTTATTATAATTCTGAAGTTGAAGACAGAAATACCAGACATAGACTAACAAATTAAAATTGTGTATGCATTTAAATAAATACACAAACACTTGTAGTCACAAAAGAAGCATTTAAGGCAGGAAACAGAACTGTACCATTGAAGCCAAAGCTTGTAACCCTGCTGACCTTAAGCGTAAAGCTCGTTCATCATCTCCCATTTCTTGTGCCAGTTGACAGAGTTTAGGAATAAGGCCTTCTAAGTTGAACATGTATGTACTATCCGTCTGCTTATTTGAAAAATAAAATTTCAATTTTACTTTTATTAACAAAACAACCAAATATATTTTTAACTTAGCATACTGATGGCATTCCTATTGAAAAGGTAGGATAATCACATATGGCCATTTTGAGGACAAAAGCACTCAGCATGTCCCTTCCATAGCATCTTTAGAATCAATAACAGATCATCGGATCTGTAAGTATTCTTGTTTCCTAATCAATTACATTTATTTCTCCTCCATGTCCACAAATTATCTGGTTCTTACAAGTAAAAGATTCATTTAAATGGTTCGTTCCACAAGAGACCACTGAACTTTGCCAATACCTATGAAGCACGAAGACCTCTCCAAAGGTCACATACCGGTGTCCGACACGTGTCATACATGCACACTCTGGGGATATGTTGGGCACACTGTCCTATTTTATTTTATTTTTTTACCAAAATAGCATATCCAAGGTTGATGAATTTGATGAGAATAATTTGACATAGAATAAATATACAATATATAAAAATATGACATATAATAAATATATAAAATTATATGTGTTGCACATGTCTCCGACGTGTCGTGTCCTACATTTCTGAAAAATGTGTGTCCATGTGTCCGCATCTGTGATTCTTAGGCCAGTACCTAGGCCAGATGTATGTTCCATGTGTATAAATGCTTGCTTAAGAATGATTCGGCTAATGTAGAAAGTTTTCTCCATCTATAATGCTAGTTTTACCTGGCTATTTATAAAATCAACAAGAGTAAGACAACCCAGAATCCGGATTTCATCAAGTCTTGTTTGTTCCAAAAGAGTGCGGACAATCCCTAATAGACTGCTAGCAAATAGTGGCCTGCAAACATTAATGGAATCTAATGAACAACCTGATGAATATGAACACTTTGCAGCTGCAAATCAAGTAATGAAATTGAAACTGAACAGTTTGCAATCCAATGGCACAATTGTGAAGTTCTTTCTTGTTATCAGGAATCAAGGAAACAAGATAGCAAGGAAAGTACAAGTTCCACTACACATCTTTTGAATAATATAGGAAATTGCAGAAGTAACACACTATAGAGTGGATGACAGTGCCATCAGGATCTTTGACTTCAATACAATTTATCCCTCTGTTCCTCAACCCAATCTGTATGTATGGAGCTATACAACTTCCAAAACAACTTGTTTTTTAACATTTGGAAAATGTAAACATCTAAGCTGTGTTTGGAGGGATTTTCAAACTATAATTCTACCCATACATTCTAGTATCATGTTTGGATAGGATTTTCAAACTATATTTCCATAACAAATAGAAAACTCTGTGTCAGGCGCGATTTTCATTTTTTTTTTTTTTTTTTTTTTTTACCATTTGAAATGGCGTTTCTACTACCAACCAAAGCCAACCCACACAATGACACACACACCAATGGCCACACCCACAACACTCAAGCATTGAAATAATATAATTTTTATATATAATAATAATTTATAATAATTAATTATATAATTTTTTTTTTTTTTTTTTTTTTTTTTTTGGCAATTAACACATGTTAATTTTTATATATTCAAGAGTTGTAATTTTTTATATCAAATATCATATCTCACATCAAAAATTCCCCACTCAATTCAAAACTCATTCACAAAACAAATTTTTCACACTCAAATCATAATTCCAAAGCTCACAAACTCAAAATATATCTCCTATTTTCAAATCATATTTAGAAAACTCTACCAAACGCTACCCTAGTTTCTGGTCAAATGAAATAAAAGCAATGTTACGGCTGCCTACCAACAACCTCTCCCAGATATCATATTAAGGACAGATGAAATAAAAATTCACTCAACAAATCTAGGGGTGGTTTAGGATGTTCTAAATAAGTGCACTTTTTGACTTTTTACGAAATATGGGTTGGGTTTGAAGTGATGTGGTAGAGAGGCGATGTGACTTAAATAGGATAGTGACTTTTTAACTTTTTGACTTTTTTAGTATATGCCAAACAAGGCCCTAGTTTTAGAGGTTAGAAACGTGCAGTCACTCAATTGAACCAATTACACATGAAGAGCCAAGTGGGAAATCATTCTGTAGGAGAAACCCATTAATGTTACTTGCAAAAATAAAGAATAAGAAAATCATGAAAGAGTAAAAGGTTCTTTGAGTGGAACCATAGAAGGGAAACATATTAAGAAAACAAAAATAAGTCCCAAACAATTACACTATGTTTGGGAACCTAAGAGAGAAAAGAAAAGAAATGATTACTTAAGTAATAAGAGAAAAGAAAAGAAAAGAAATGATTGTTATTTCTCTCCTTTTTGTTTGGATACGGAAGAAATAAAAGAAAAAAAATGATTGTGATTTCTCTCATTCTTGTTTGGTTAGATTTCATTAAGAGAAAAGAAAAGAAATTATTTTATGTTATATTACCAAAATAACCTTTTTATATTTTCAATTATTTTATTTCTTTTATTTTTATGGGGACAAAATTGGTATTATAAAAATAGTTGTTTCTTTTCTCTCCCAATCTCTCCACTTTTGGAAAGATTGAAAATGAGGCTTATAAGAGAAATGAATTTCCCTCCATTTCTCTCTACTTGGGTTATCCAAATAAATAAGAGAAATACATATCACTCAATTTCTTTTCTTTTCTCTCCAAATCACTCAATCCAAACATAGCGTTAAGATGGCTTGAGAACCCAATTAAAAACAAAAATTAGAACACTCCAACTTACATCTGCTCCTTACATGAAGATAGCAATTTCCTATATATGCAAAGCACAACTTTTACTGAGCCAAAGTGCTCATTCCGCATATCTTTGTAAAATCTCTGCTCAAGGTATTCAGTGATCTGTTTACAAAAAAAAAATAATAATAGAATAAACAATGAGTAACATGTAACAGAAACTTATTGGCACTTAATTTTAATTAGAAACAAACCTGATATAAGAAACTGTGACTTAAATGTAGTATAAAATTAACACAAAGGGCAAGGCAGTTTTGGATAACTGACTTTCTTAATTCTTTAATGTACTATAAATACTCTCTGTTAGGTGACAACTTATTTGGAAGTGTAACTACAGAAATCTTTGTAGAAATGGATTGTTTAACTAAAAACAAGCACGGTGACAGGAAGGAACCTTCTGCCGCTGACTTTACATTTCTTCCTTGCTATACAAAATTACAAACAAAAACTGAAAAAAACTAAATTCACAAAGCCTTAAGTCAAAATTTGATAGAGAACCCAGGAATTGAAAATACAAAACAAACTGAATTGGTGAAGGAACAGCCTCTCAATGAGGATACTTACCTTTGGTATTCGTAATGGATTTTTTGAGGCATACTCACAGAGCTTCCCAATTTTCCGATCATTTGGTTCAGCATCCTGCAAACAGTGATTGGGTACTAGTAAGCAAAGCTTTTAAGTGGCCTTCCAAAGACAATCTGAGTTGCAAAAGATGACGAATCCCCATAATACATTAAATGTAGCTATGAATAAGTTGAGGTTCCCTACTAGAGGCGCCTCTAACCAGCCCTATAAAAACTAGGAGCAAAACTATAACCACAAAAACATAGAACAACCACAATAGCAGAAACTTTATTTTGTGTACACTTCCATTATATTGGAAACGGGAAATAAAACAAAATTAGTAAGTCATTGAGTGAACAACCCGTCATCAAATTTATATGACATTGAACCATACATAGAAACTTCAAAACTGAATCCTAGACATTTTATTGAGATAAAGAGCATAAGAAATATAGGAAAGACTTTTTCCATAATTGTTTTGGGAAGACCCTCCTTAACCTAATGGCCCTTGGTACCCAAAACAAATGAGCAGACCAAACTGCAGTACAGCTCGTCTCACCACCCCAGAGCATATAAATCAACCAGATCAATGTCAAACACTAAGTACTTTTTTTCTTTTTTCCCTCGCAATGTTCTTGATAGAATACTTTGGAGTAATCATCCTCAACATACAGAAAGACAAAAAAAAAAAATCATTCCAATTGACCACTGAAGCAACAAAAATTGTTGACATTACTTAAAAGAGACATAACAATCAAGTAAAACTGATACAAGGGAAGCCAAATACTCACCTGAGACCGAGGGAAGATATCAGCAAGAAGCTTTTTGTACCGCTTCACAGGCTGTCTCGACCTTGCTCGCAGGGAAGGACAAAAGAAGCAGACTTTACCACAGACGGGCAAAACCCGCCTGGACATAACCCCCATTTGCTAAGGTATTGAATTCAAACCCCTCCCCTTGAAAAACCAAATCACAAATTCAAACCAAAATTTACCAAAACCAGACGGACCCAATTGACCAAATGAACAATAATTCAGAAGAATCCCAAGAATTTCGTTTTTATGACGAATAAACGAATTGGGCACAACAGAATTGCCAAAGAAAAGGTCAATAAACATACTAATTTTGCAAAATTCAAACAAATTTATCAAAATCTAAATCATACCCACCAATCCAAGTAATACAAAAATTCATATACTGAACAACCCAGCTCTTAAGATCGCGATCTGCATAAGCCTACCAACGAACGAACAAAATTGAGACAAAAACAAAAAAAGGGTCTGAATGTTGACGAATGAAAGAACAAAAAAACTAAATTATTTCCATACAAAGCTCTGGTTATGAATCCAAATCCCAATAATTAACGTAAAAAAATCATAAATTGAGAGAATCAAATGATTGATTTTGTATTTACCTAGGGATTGTATGGGCAATTGGGGAGGCAGAGAGGCCTGACGCATTGAAATCTCCAACTGGCGGTTTTTCTCTCTCTTAGTCCGAAGTCCATTAATCTGGAAAGAGTCACAGCTTAGCATCAATCACAGCCATGTGTTTTTGTTTGTAACACAATCAATGGAGTCAGTGGACCCACGTATAGTAGTATCTAATTGACGGTGAGAGATGGCTCTCTGCTCTGCCACCGAAAAGTAGCTCTGCTCTGTCACCAAAAGCTTGTATCGAAACAAGAACATGTAAATAATGAATGTTAATACGTGGATAGTTTGAGTTTTTTAAATTAAATTTTTTTTAAAAATAAATATTTTTTAAATTTTAAATATTTTTTTATTTTTTAGATATACTTTGTTTTTAGTAAATATTTTTTAAATTTTAAACATTTTTTTTACTTTTTTAGATGCACCTTAGTTAGATGTATCTAAAAAGTAAAAAATTTGTGAAGAAATATTTTAAAAAATTAATAAATACATAGAAATATAAAAAATGTACTGAATTCTTGTAGTGTTTTTTGTATTTTTGGCATTTAGAGAATTTTTAAAAGATTTTTTTTACATTTTTTTTTCTTTTTAGGTGTATTTATGTTAGGTGTATCTAAAAAGTAAAAAAAAAAATTTGCTTAAAATATTAAAAAAATTCAGTAAAAATAAAAAACACAGAAAATAAGAAAGTCAAATTTTCTGAAAAGTATTTTTGAAAAACTCTAATCAAGTAATATTATATTAAAAAATTTATTTAATAATTCTTATAAGAGTAAATAAGTATTTTTTTTTATAATAAAATCATGTTATCTCTTATGTTGATTAAATCATCTCTTTATATATATCACTTTACATATTTCTTTCATAAAGAATCAAAAAAATACGTAAATTATTTCAAACAATCCTTACGAGTCATATTTAACATTTTAAATTTTCATTATTCTAGCTAGTGCCTTAAAATAAAATAAAAATCATATTTCTCACTTACCAATTTTAATGGTCAAAGTTAAATGATTTTGTCAAAATTATTTTTTTAACTTTTTTTTTATTTAAGATATTTTGGGTCATTTTGCACGCAATAGACTGAGGTTTTTTTTTAGTATAACTTATTTTTTGACTCTTTTGTTTATTATGAAAGGACATGTAAAAAAGTATAGAGGTGTTATAATAAAAATAAGTCAACAAATAATTTATTTGGAGTATTCTCAAAAGAGTTTTAAGTCTTTATAACTTGAATAAGCCTTTCAAAACTCCAAAAAAATTTATTGGGAAAATAGATTGAGCTATCATTTTTTAACTTGTTATAGATTAATTATTTTTTAATTAACCATATTATTTTGATATAATTAATTTTAAACTATTAAATTTTAAGTTATGATTGTGGTCAATTTTAAACTATCCATGTTGTGTCTGTCCACTCTTGTACCGAGTTTGATAAGGTCATATTATTAAATTTTAAATTGAATTTGACACGAAATTAATTTTTTGTACAAGTAGGACTAAAATTAAATTTGGCATCATTCCAATTCCTATAAGAGCCCACATAAAATTTGCTTTATAATCGAATAAATCAAAAGCTATAATGCCCCCAACGGTCCCGGGGATTGAGGAGGCTTTTGTATTCATTACATGACAAAAGCAACTCCCACCTGTTTTGTCTTTTGACTTTTGTGCCCACTCTCAAATGATTACTTCTTTCTTTTCCAAAAATTTTCATTAAATTTCTTGCCAAAATTGTGCCATAATGCATGGGATTTATGGGAGAATTATCTCCATTTGTAGGGGTTAGGGTTCAAACATCAAGTGACTACCATCTTTCACAAATTGAGCTTTTGTTTGGCATGTTAGTTTTTTTTATTTTTTAATTATTTTAGTCATAAAAAGATAAAATATATTTTTTATTTTAATAAGACAAAATATCAAATTAAAATCACAATTATTTTATTCTTTTTCTCACAAAAGTTAAAAAATTTAAAAAGTTTATCACAAATGAAACTTTTTAGCTCTAGATTAAAATAGTCAAAAAATCAATTCACATCCCAAACGAATCCTGAGGTAAATCAATTGACCAATCTTTCACAAATTTCACAATATTAATCATTAATTTTAGAGTAAATCAATATGTATTAAGAGCATCTCCAATAGAGTTGCTATTCAACCTGCCAAAGCTATAATTTGATAAGAGTGACAAAAATGAGGGTCTCCAATGGCCTGCTATTCTACTTGCCAAAGATAGCAGATGCCATATCTGTTATCAAATTTGGCAAGTTGAATAGCAGCCGCCAAACTTGCCACATCAGCAAATATCAACAGATTTTTTGCACCAAATTCAGTTAAAAAAACAGAATTGAAGCAGTAGAAAACCTCACAAATTTCAGAATCAACCCCAATTTTCAAATGAGTTGCCAAATTTACAAATTTCATAATAAATTTGACAAACCCAAATTATGTTTCTCTTATTATTATTTGTTTTTTTATAATCATTTATCACCAAATAAATCGATCCAAATGGAGTGTAAAAATCAGATGGATATTATCACGATAAACCAACCCAAAATAGGCTAACAAATAGATGGATGAACAAAAATTAAACCAAAAATCAAAATAAATAATTAAGAAAATTTTAGCAAACATATCAACACTACAAAATGGTGAAGGATCCTTCTGGAGATCCTTGAGTTCTTTAAAGATCTGCTTTGAAGTCATTGCATGACCTGAGTTTCAAAAATCTCGATCACCTCAAATCCACATCAACAACCAGAAAAATAAATAAAAAATCAAAGCATATATATATGTAAGTATGTATATAAATGGAGATCGTACCAGAGACAGAGAGAGAAAGAGGAAATGGGGGGGCGATTGTGTGGAGGTGAAGACTTGGAACCAAGGAGAGAGAGAGATCGGTAAAGACTTGAACTCAATGACAAAGAGTGAGAGACGTTTCCATGATGGAGGAGGAAAATGAAAGAGGAGAGTCAGAGTCAGAGTTAGAGGGAGAGTGAAAATAGCGACACACACAGAGAGAGAAAGAGAAAGAGAGAGAGAGAAGAGAGAAGAGAGATAGAGAGAGAGAGAGATGTTTGAGAATGGAGGAGGAGAAGGGAAAACTGGTTTGAGGAGAGGGAAGAGAGTGAGAGAAGGAGAAGAAAGACAGTGCATTTTTGTCAAAGACAGGGTTGGATGATTCTAGATAAATCATCTCAACCATTGAACATATATACGTGGATGGTTATGATCTCTCTTAGAAATCTCAAAAGAGCTGTTGTGCTCTATCTAATTAAAAAAACAAAAAACCATTTTTTTTTTTTTTTTTGTGACAATAGGTATCTTCAAACGACTATTATCTTCTAACGGTAATATTTTGAATTTCTATAAATAGAAACCCTCTATCTTAATTTTATTTCACAACCCACATTTGGATTTCATTTTTCTTTTATCCTCTCTCTTTCTCTGAATTTGATTTCACAACAAACCTCCAAAATCATTTTCTTTTTGGTTTTTTCATACAATCACTGTGGAAGGTTCATCAAAAACAAAGAGAGGGAAATCATTCACCATTGAAGAAGAAATGGCAATTTGTAAATGTTTGTGTCACATTTCGGAAGACCCAATTGTTCACAATTTGTAATCGTATGCTCACTTTTGAGAGAGAATTTAGGAAAATTATTGTTTGTTTTACAATGATTAGTCAAGAACACAAGTGTCTATCCAATCTCAATGGGGTATAATCATGAAATGTTCCAACAAATTTCGGGGTGTTTAGCGCAAGTCAAAAATCTTCACCCAAGTAGGATATCTGAAATTGATATAATAAAATTTCATTTTCAGTTATTATGTTTAGTTTCTTATTTTGGTATCGCATAAAAATTAACTAATTAATTAATTAATTTATTTATTTATTTATTGATACAGATGCTTCAAGCAAAACTGTTATACCATCAAGATGAAAGCAAACATTTTACTTTTGAACATTGTTGACTAATCTTGCAAAATAATATCAGGTAGCAAGATATAACTCCCATGAATATGGTAAAGTCAAGCCTACATACACAGCTTGCCCCTAATTTAGCCCCCAATTCCCCGTATGGATAGCTACATTTCTCTTAAAGATGACAACAGTCCAAGTGTTGGTAACAATCCAATTGTTGCTAATAACCAAATCGGTGAGGGTAGTGTCTCTGCAATGAGCAAAAGGCCTATGGATAGGAAATCTGCAAAAGAATTATCTCGGAGAAATCAAGTCGTTGAAATTGAAGTCCAAAAAATAAGCATACAATTTGAGACATTTAATCAACACCTTGCAGAGAAGGAAAATAAAAAAATAAAAGAGAAGAAAAAAGGATTCAAGCACTACAGGAGATGAAAGAACTTGAGATCAAAAGACAAGAACATAAGATCAAAAAGGAATAATATTTGATCATAACTACGAATATTTCTCATTTGGATCCTCAGTTGAAAGCATATTACACAATGCAAAAAAAAAAAAGATTTTCGCTAAGTGGTCTGCACATGTCAGCACCCCAAATTATTATTTTCCCCTACCTCCTAATGAATAACTACGGGAGAATGTATTTTTTAATTTTGCAATATTATTTATTTTTTAATATATTTGTTTTTTGTTTTTTGTTTTTTGTAGTGATATGTTTTTGGGTAGGGTGAATTATATTTAAATTTTTTCCCCTAATTTTTTAATTTTTTCTTTTTATTTTTTATATTTGCCTAGTCATGAATAATATAAATATATATATATTTTACAGTTATAAAAAAAGGTCACAAAAGGCAAAAATAAACAAAAATAAATTCACTAAAAAGGTTATATCCAAATAATACTTACAAAATTTGAGGGAAAGTTGGTTGAGAATTGTCAAAATAGCAAGTGATCATTGGAGTACTATATTTTGGGAAGATGGGCTGAGGCTAAAATAGTCATATAAGACAAAATAAGCTATTTTAGCCAAATAAGACAAAATATCACATCCAACCCCACAATCATTATATTTTTTTCTCACAAAAAAGCAAAAAAAGCAAAAAAGTCATTTCCAAGCAAAATTTTTTAGCTTCATGCTAAAATAGTCAAAAAGCCAACCTACTTCCCAAACGAACCCATAATTTGGCAAAATAACACTATTCATTGTCAAATTATAACAATAACAATGGTATTATAGCAATAACCATCGGATGGTATATCAATTAGTGTATTAACGAATGATGTGATATAATTTTGAAGGTTTTGAGTCTTTGTAGTTTGTACAATTAGTGGAATTTATAGTTTTGAAGTGATAATGTCATAACACATATATTAGTATACTAAATTTTATAATAATTGATACGTGTGGCACCCCTATTAATTTTATGTTTAACAAATTCTATTTACGAATTTTCTTCTCGAAATAACTTACTTTTGAAAAATATGAATTTTATTTCCAAATTTAAAAAATTAAGTTTTACACCAAAAATTAAAGAGTATGAAAAGTGTTAGTATTTTCAATCTTTTTTATTATTTTATTTATGAGATAATAAGATGAAGAACAATAACAAATGTACCAACAAATATGCTACCTAAAAAACGCGATATATATATTTGTCAATAATGAGAATAATTACAATAATGAGAAACATTATCAACTAGACAACTAAAATTTAAACAATTGAGTAGAAAATCTAACAACCGCTACTAGTTAGTTCAAATTAGAGAATATGAGAGATAAATAAATACAATAATTGAATATAATGAAACAAATTCCAATTGATTGAGTGGCAATTCATTTACAATGTCATACCCCGAATCCAATGGTCTGAGTACATGATGGCTAAAATGGGGAGTAAACAGAAAAAATAGTAAAAGGATAGTAAAAGTGAATAACAAAGTGCAGAAAAATAAATTAAGGTTAATAGACTCTTAAATATGAGTTATGAGATTTGATTTGTTTGATAAAAGTGGTAAACAATACAAAATAAATATTTTAAATGGTTGAAAAAAAGTCAATTTTATTATAAAATTAAAAATTAAAAAACCCATAAAAAAAAAAATACTCAAGGTGCTGATACTTGTGGCTAAGATGTTTGACTCTATTATCAAAGTATTGACACTAGTACTCAAGATTTGAACACTATCAAGTTACTCAAATTGATCACATTGGTTTTAACATTAGCAACTTCCAACATTATCAAATTGATTACTTAAACAGATTATACCAGTTTTAAGTATTGACACTTTTGCCGATCAAAAAAAAAAAAAGTATTGACACTTTCAAGTCTTAAATATGAAAAATTCTTACTCGTTTAAATTATCAATACTTTCAAGATAAAATATAAAAAATTTCAATGAGAGAATTTATTGATATATACCTGAAAACTTTTAATAAATTTTGAAAGTTATAGTGTGCATTTATTGTCAATTCCAATTCGAATCACTCAAAATATATATATACTTTTTATATAAGTTAAGTAGTGATTTAAACAAGCACACGAATGAGCGTAGAAAAAATATACTTTGATCTATTAATGACAATGCAGCTTAAAAAATATATATATATTAATGACAATGAAAGCTCAACAAGAGAAAAATAAGGGTTTGCAACAACAAAAGATGTCATTGACTTTGAAGATTAAAATCACTTAATGGCCTCACACCAAAAAAAATAAATAAAAATTGGAACTCTCTCATTTTCGAATCTCGAGAATTTGAGAGGCTCGTGGTGCTAATCACAAGTCTCGATTTGATGATTCAAATAATTTATTTTGTAGAGTTTTCAATATATATTATTTATAAAAAAATTATGTTGATTTTATAATTATAAAATTTTTGTTTTATCGTATGTGATGATAAAAAATGTATGGTCTATTTTAAAAATTGTATTGTCATTCATTTTGTTGAAGACAAATATGATCAAATTAAAATGTTACGATTATCAGATTGAATTAATTTTTTCGTGAATGATATGTATTGAGAATTCTACAAAATTAATAGTTTGGATCATCGAAACGAAACTCATAGTAAACCTCACAGACCCCTCAAATTATCTAATGTTGAGTTGTTAACATGAGATAAAAAAAATATATATATATTATAAAATCACCATTCATACTTACAATTTATAACTAGGTGAGCATAAAGTTCAGCAAAAATATATATATTGCAAACATGTTTAATATTAAATTCTAAAGCATGCAATCCTAATGTTATATATAAGATAAGATCAGTTTCTCAATATACTTCACTTGTTGATTACTAGATTTTAATTTGAAAAACCCCAAACATGAGGTGTAGATTAGAGGGTGGCCCGCCATAAGTTATTGGTATATGTGTCAAATAGAAAAATGCTTGGGAGCACTAATTAGTGCTCCCACTAATTAGGTGGTAGTGAGTCCCGTCATTAATGATGTGATGTTTTGGTCTTGGAGTTGTATTTTTTTTTATTTTTTTTTACTTTTTTAATGCATTAGTGCTATTAGTGGTGATATTTTTAGTGGGATGAATCATTGTTGGTGTCAAATAATGTGTTTGATGTATTGAAAATTCAAATTCAGCGGTCGTTCATCCTCTTAAAATTAAAGTTTCAATTGAGTTCTAGGGATGTGAAAAAAAAAAAATACACACACAAGATTAAAACATCACATCAGATGAGGCCCGTATACACATTAAAACTATTAAGCCTCCGTTTGGGAAGTGGGTTGGCTTTTTGGCTTTTTGGTTTTTTTTGACTATTTTAGCCTGGGCTTAAAAGTTTGGTTTGGGAAGGACTTTTTGGCTTTTTGACTTTTTTGAGTTTTTTTGTGAGAGAAGAATGTAATGATTATGGGTTGGATGTGATGTTTTGTTTGTTATGGCTAAAATAGCCTATTTTGTTTTTTGTGGCTAAAATAGCCAAAAAAACCTGCAAACCCACTTGCCAAACACAGGCTAAAACTCATTTTCTAGAACTCCCAAACATTTTTCATTCAAATTTTCATTATTTTTGACAAATTGGCAAAAGTAGTTCACCAACATCTCCTTAATTTGGTTCAAGTCTAACTACTTATGTAATTGTATTCAAATTGGACAAATTCCACCTCCTGGCTCAGAGTCAAATTTCGAATAAGTCTTCGTTTGATATGTGAGTTGATTTTTTAGTTTTTTGATTATTTTAACATAAGCTAAAAAATCTCGTTTGAAATAGGCTATTTGACTTTTTTGAATTTTATGAGAAAAAAAAATAAAATAATTATGATTTGAATGTAACATTTTGTTCTATTTGACTAAAATAATCAATTTTGTCCTATATGATTATTTTTGTCCAAATGAACATGTCAAACATAGCTTAAGAGTGAAATTGGTCAATTATAATTACTCTATTCTGTTTACATTGAAATTCATGCATTTACAAAACTACGATGAGCAATGCAATCTCATTATTAAATAAATTAATGTTTTGACATGCAATGTAATGCATTAAATAAATCATATGACAGGCATTTGTCTAATAAACTTGGGTTTGAATATTTCAAGGCATTACATCACTAGTGGCTGTCATTAGAGTTGCCATTTGTGACTAGTAATGAATTCAGCCTATTCACCCAAAAAAAAAAAAAAAAAAAAAAAAAAAAAAAGAATTCAGCCAATTAAATAACAAATTGAAGTTTTCGTAAAGATTAATTATTATGGTACCATATTTTTAATTAAACTTTAAATTTAAAGGTAACATATATAAGATTAGACACAATCATATTATACAGTCAAAATTAAAATTAAAATATATAACTATCATGTTAAACAAAATATATATACATATATATATATATATATATATTATTAGAGTAAGTCACTCAAAATATGATATTTGAAATATGCTAGAAATAATTGTTCTTTTTTTGACTTAAATTATATAATCATCATGTTAAAAAATAACTTATATATTACTAGGGTAAGTCATTCAAAATATGATATTTGAAAGCACACAAAATATGCTAGAAATAAGTGTTCTTTTTTGTTTTTGGTCAAATAAAGGAAAAAGAATAAGAAAATTTTAATAAGACTTGATCCCAAACTTCATACATAGGAGAGATGGTTTTGTAAAATGAATAAAGAATAATGAAAAAAGTTGGGATACATTACACTTGTCTTCTTTATGTTTGGTTATTCTCTCATTTTGGTTCTTAAAGTTATTTTTTCTCCCATTTTGATCATTTATGTTTCAAGTTTTTTCAAAAAATAAAGTTATATGCAAAATTAGATAGAAAATGACACATTAAGACTAGGTTTGGCATCTCTTAAAAAAGTCAAAAAATCAAAAAATTTCTATCTTATTTAAGTCACATCACTCAAACAATCCCCAATAATTACTCGACATTTTTTGTTATTATATATAACTCATACATTTGAAAAAAAAATCTAAATATTAATATAATAATTTTTTTTATGATATGTGACAACTAAAATGGCATTTTATATATAATTTTAAACATAAATTAACTTTATAAATAAATAGAGAAAAACTTGAAATATGAGAAGTTAAAATGAAGAAAAACGTGAGAAACAAAATAAAGAATGACAAAATAAAGGGCAAAGTGTAACTCACCCAAAAATTATAGTAAAGGACTTGTTTGGGAAATCGATTATATTTGATTTTTTAATTATTTTAATATAATTAAAATAATAGTGTTTGAGAAGATAATTTTTTTATTATTTATAGTTAATTTGATGATTGTAAGAGAAAAAATAAAATAATTATAAGTTATATGTAATATTTTTTTATTGACTATTTTAGTTTATTTTATTTATATTGATTATTTTTTAAAAAAATATCTGTTTATTTATCTATTATAAAATGAACACTCTTTATAGTCTATTATAAAGTGAACACCCTTTATGGTGTCTTGAAATTTTGTTTCTTATGCTGCCATATGTCTATTTTTTTATTTCAAATAAAAAAAAATTAGATAGATGAGAGGAAGAAATTTAAATCTTAGACTTATATCAAATAAATAAGATTCTTATCACTTCACTAACACATAATATATGATAAATATTTTAATTTATTTTTATTTATTACATCGCCTGTGCCAACTAGTGTGTACACCACACAGGGCCAAAGTAATAACCCGCTAATGTTGGGTTTGGATTTGTCTGTTAACCAGACCCGAGTCCCTAACTACGAGGAAGAAGAAGGATTACAGAGAGAGTCTGACCGAGAGACGAGGGTTTCAAAATAATCTTCATCGAAATCCAGAGCTGGAAATGCCTAAACCTCGTTTAGCTCTCATCTTCCTTCTATTGCATCTGTTAATCCTTCATCTCACATCTCCAATTTCAGCAATCAGGTAATGCTTCCCCGTTTGGTTTCCTAGAAAATTGTCGAAATTTTCGAATCAAACATTTTATTTTTTGGTATTCTTGGAAATGTTGCTGACCCATAACGAGTTCTGAGAAGTATCGACATGTAATGTGTTTAAATCGATAGTTTTCTGCAAGAATTCATATGGCCAGTATTTAATTTTTGTAAGACTTTGCCTGGTTTAGTAATTGGTGTTTGATGTGGATGTGAAAAATTTATGAAGTTCGTGTATTTGATTAGATTATTCGTTTCGCAGTACGCCTTTGAAGCTATAATTGTCGATTTTTTGAAGTAAATCCCATAAAGGGTGTTGAGATCTATCTGTATTTTGGTTGTGCTAAATCATGCCTTATTTTTCATTAATTGGAATGTAACATTTAAGAAGACCAGTTGGGTCCAATGACCAGCATATTTCATCGTCCAATCTTGAAAACAAACAAACTTCATAAATGTCAAGAAAGGAACACACACACACACATATATATACTAGCAGTGAGTACGTAATTTAGCAGTGGAGACGGTGAAGAATATAAACCTTTTATGAAAACAAGTGACAAAAAATGCGTCTATAACCATGTCCAGTCTTTCCTTTAAATAATAGAAAATATTTATACACTATCCCAAGTGATTTAATTTCCCGACTGAAGTCAAAGTTCTGAAAGGGCCATCGGGATAATGAGCAGAGACACATAAAATTTTAGTAGTCACGATGATGAGTGGTGAAACAAGTTGGCACAACTTCAAAGTATATGGGGATGAATGAGACTATTTTCAGATTCATAAATTGGAACTTTTCCAATTTATTAGATTACAATGTCATTCATTCATAGATGCTGTTCTATGTATGTAAAAATACATTAAACCTAATTACTTTCCTTATTTGTGTACACAACAAAATGTCAAGAGCTCCATAGGTACATGACTAAGGGTACGGGAAAAACGATACCCAATGTATTTGCAGGTTAAGGCAAGCATCAAATAATTTATCGAGTAATTTCTTTAATATCTTTGTCTATTATGTTTATATATTGGATGGAATGAAATTCTCATATCGGACAAGCTATGTAACACTGACACTTTATTTTACCCTAAGGGAGGAGTAAAATAAGCATTTTCAAATGTTCACCAGAGCCACATCTTAAGAATTGTTTATTTGGAGAAGATAACTATTAAATGAATTCTCGCATATGAGATATGTGTAGGCGTGCAACTTGGACGGGCCCAACCTGAGCAACATGAGCTGACCCAATAAACTTTGAGGGTTAAGCAATTTATTGGGATTTTTATGAGCAATTTCTTTCTTTTGTGATTTTGCTAGGTTCTTTAGATTGTGCATTTATGAACTAATTTATATATAGGTTAAAACATGTTATAATTAGCCTAAAAGATTTACTTGTAGACTTCTAGGCCAACAAAGGTCCCAAAAAATCAAGCTTAATAGCACAGAGCCCAATTTTTTGGGGGCAAATTGAGCCTAATTTGAACGAAATTTATTGAGTTTGGGCTAGGTTTCGGCTAAATGTCTTGGGCTCGCAAGTCATGCCTAGCTAACGTTGAGCACTATTTGGGTTGGGCTTGGGCAGGTCTAGTTTGCCCAACTTGCACCAGTAGATTTGTGGCCTTTTTTTTTTTTTAAAAAAAATAAAAAATAAAATTTAAGTGGATAAGAACTCGATACCTGGTTTGTCAAAATCTTTATGTGGTTATGCTCTTTGGTGTTTACCATTTATGCTAGGTGATATTGTCAAATAAAAGTTAACTGTTTCTTTAGGTTTCTGTTATCAGAATCTTATGATTCGTGATTTGATTCACAATTTTAGTAAAATCGATACAAATCCATGGATGATCTACTTTGAAGTGAATCTCTTATGAATTGCACGATTCACTATCGATTCACGATTCGATTCACTTTTTATAATTCATGCAATTTTTGAAATTATCATGACCAACATATTTCTATTATTTTTTAGTTAAAATAACATAATACAACATCTAATAATGTTTAGTACAAAAATAACTAACATATATACATGATTTGTTATTTTGGAGATCATAGAGTTTTCAATAGAATCAAATCAAATTGAGTCGGACCCAATATTCTTTTAACCCTTTCTTCTCATTTTTTTCCTTAAAAGAAATCATAGTGTATCTTTTAAGGTTAAAGTAAACTTGCAATATGAATTATATTATTATTTTATTGAAATAAATATACTTCAATATTACATGGGTGAGGTAATATTGAAGTAGAAAATAAGGATGTATGCTTATGAATATGAACATTAGTGTTAAGTTATTGTTATTTGAAAATTGAGAGTTTGTTTTTGTTTACTTTTTATTTATTATTTATTTATTTTTATTTAGCATGGTTGATAAGCAATATCTGGAAAAAAAGAAAATGTGTGATGGTGATCTTACATGGGAACTTGTATTAACTTCTTACATATTAGACCATGTGGTCATCATTCAAAACAACATTTTCATTGGTTTAAATCTAAATATTTTATATTTATAAGATATATTTAAAATCCAAGTGTGTTAATATATTTTTCTAAGTAATTTAAAAAAAGTGATCGAATCTTTACGATTCACGATTCGATTCGATTCGCGATTTAGTTCAAGGCTATTTCAATTCACGATTTGACAACTATGCTTTAGATACAAAAATGTTTTTTACTTCATTTTTATGGAGTTGTGTGTTTGAAATATTTGCATATTGTTGATCTTTTCTTTTGGGATACTGAAAAGCTTTTTTATTTTATTTTATCCTTTTGCACTTTCCCCCTTCTGTTCGTATTTTTTATTTGTTTAACTTCTGCGTTGTAGGAAGGATGCGAGTCTTCAAGGCAAACACATTTGTAGAACTACAGTTCAAGGAAGATACTTGCTCTCTGATGACAATGGTATGCTTTTTGCTCTCCCATGTTATAGTTTGTGTTGCTTTCTGTCATGCTCACTGGTATTTGTACCTTTATAAATTATAATAGTTAGATATTATGTGAGTCTTTACAAACAAAATGTTAACATTAGTTGCCCTTGGTGGATTGCTATTTGAACAAGGAAGCTGATTTTGTTTGGCTGTTTAACATAGTGGAACTGAATGGAGTTTACTTATGAATGGCAACTTTGTATACTTGAGGGATAGAGAAGTATAGGAGGATCAAAGAACAAGAAGACAGGGAAGGGGAAGAAAAATGAAGAACAAAAATTACTTTCATTTCTGAATTTTTGATTTATTGTTTATTAGGATTTAAATATTATAATGCATTTCAAAGTTGAGAACTTTACATTACATTGTTACATGTCATTGTTGCACATATCATGACAGTCGTTTTAAATTTTAGGCCATGTATGTGATGCACTATCAGTGGATCCAGAGTCTCGTTGCTGCCCTGGAAAAGGAGAGCAATTTGCTTGTCAGTGAGTTATCTTTGATTTGGTATTTTGAAATGTTACTTTGAGTGGAATTCTGCCAGACAGATTGACAACATTATTTCTTCTTGCTTGCAGTGGATGCAACCTTGCTTCGCAGTGCTGCAACTCATACGAATTTTGTGTTTCATGCTGCCAGAACCCTGCAAAAGTATAGTGTCAAAAGTGAATTTAATTAGCTTTCTGCTGCTGCTGCTACTGCAACTTGTGAAATACGTCTGCTAACCCTATTTGGTTGCGTTTTCAAAATATGTTTCTGTTGTTGTAATAGAGATTCTCTTTCTAGAAATTCGTCTTCTTTTGATCTTTGATGCTATAAATGTCACTGCTTTTTCACCATGAAATACTTTCGACAGACGCAGAAGGAATTAGCGCTGAAGGTGAAGATATCTAAGCCAGCAACTGCAGGTGAAATTCTACTCATTTTGAGGAGGATAGGAGTTTTGGGTGTGTTGCATATACATATGTACATGTATTGATAAGATTTTGGTATTCAATATTTGGGATAGCTACCACTTGATAGATCCTGTTTAGGATAATATTTGAGGTCAACTATCAACCAGATTAAATTGTTTCTGTTCTCTGGTCTGACCAGTGAATACGTAACAGTTCTGCAAGTGATATGGAAAAAAACTGGGACGAATATGTTGATGTTTTGTTGTTATGGTTAGGCCCGACATGATATATATTTTCCCTCCTCATTTTATAAAATTTTGCAAGGATGATGAATTTCCATCGTTCTTTTGGCAGGGACCTATTTGAGTGTTTTTGATTTCTGCTCTGGGAGATGTCGCCATAATTCTGAAAGTGTGGTACGTAGTGATCTGTAGGTTCCAGTTCCTGCTGTTTCTGTTTCAAGTTGCTTATTATCTTTATTCAGCTTGTAGTGTATGCCATGGAAGTCATACTTTGAATTATTTAATGTATTTATTTATTAGCATTTTTCGATGCTGTTGGACAGTGATGTGGAAGTTAGGATTGGTTTTGCACTGTAGATGTGAGTTATAGACTTCTAACTAGACACTTTATTATTGCAGGATGAATATGCCATGTAACAGGAAAAAAGGTTATCATAAGTTTTTGCTTTCCTGTGAAGATTCCATTTCTTTACTCATCATAAGTTTTTGCTTCCCCTTAGCACATCATTTAAGTCTAAGTATGCTGCAACTTTAAATTTAAATAATAGGGAATAACTAGCCTTATTATGGCTCATTTGATATAGTTTATTTGGATGATTTAATCGGTTTTTAATTAAATTAGCTCAAATTAATAAGTTTATATATATACAATTATATCAGACAAATTATCTAAACCAAATGAGAAGCTAGTTTTTTATACTGCTGATGAAATTAATGGGGTTTGCCCTCTATATATTTGTGGCCCCCAGCTTAAAATGTTTCTTATGTCCTTGACACATCGTGAAAACAGGGAAGGGGTGGGGGGTGATTGATTGCTCTTTCTTTTAAAAATTGGAAGATTACTAGAGATGAAGAAATTGTACAGGGGGAAGAGATTTTCCCATTGTAAAGGACTACTTTCGACAGATGATCCTAGTGAAGTCCTCCAACATAAAAGCAGTAATCTTGGAGAGCTAAAGGCCTCTAATTTCATCAGTCTTGGATTCCAATTAGTGAGAAAGAATCAGATTGTGTCTCAGGAGGCTGGATTAGTTTAAATCATAACCCCTTAGTGATTTTCTTTTTTTTTTTCTTTTAATCATCTTGTGCTATGATCTTTGTCTATTCTCTTCAGAAACACCAAATGGGATGGGTTTGTAGAAAATGACAAGGATATATATGACTGTCATAATCTTTCAAGATTTCTGGTGCACCTGATTGACCTGGATTACGCCTGGAGCAGCCATAGATGTTAATCATAACTCAACTTTCTAGTGGAGGAGACCAAGGGTGGGAAGGAATTTTCACTTCTTATATGGAAAGGAGAAACCCGTTCCCTTCACAGATACTGTGGGTAGTTTCCTTATCTGTTTCGCTAAAATTTAGTGCATTTATCCACTAAGAGAAGATGCTTTATCCTAAAACGAATGGCCTTCTTCTCAAAATTTAGATGTACCGAACCGAACCAAACCAAAGCAAATTAAGCCTTGTGTCCCACTTAGGTGGGGTCAACTATATGAATCATTTTCACAATTCCGCTGTCACGGGCAAGGTTGTGAATCTCACTTTGTATGGGGCCGTACCGGCCATACATTCTGCTTAAGAAAAAAAAAAAAGTACCATGAACACCCAATTTCATCTTGTCTACTTTTCTGGCTTGTCTTGGGCAATTCGTGATGTACAAGGATGTTTTGGTCTGTTTCATATTATATCAGTTTTCTGCCTGTATATGGAAAGCAGGGGCAAGTAATGAAGATTGAGTGCTCTAACTGACATATGGACCTGTAGCTTTTTACTCAGTTGAATCAGATACTGATGAACTTATGAAGATCATGAGTAAGAATGGGTGATGTAGAGTATAAGAGCTCAAGGAAGGCTAAATTCAAAGAAGCAATGATATTTGGACATTGGCATAATTTCATAGAAAAACTGATAGGAATTTTATATAATTATGTTTCTAGTATTATTGGAGCATTATTTTATGATTATTTTTATGTTTTGTAGGATTTTTAGGTCAAGGGTATTTTGGCAATTTTCATTATTGTTGTCATGGGGTCACCCATGTGTCGTCTTGTGGATCAAGTTATTTGATTGGGTTTTATTTATGTTTCTTATTTAGAAGTCAAATATATTATAATAGTTTCTTTTTTTAATTATAGTTGGTTTAGGAAGTCTTCTAATTCTATATAAAGTCATGTAATGCTTATAATTCAATAGAGTTGATATTTTAGAGAATTTTTCAGAGCTTTTGAAGCTTCTTATGGAATGTGTGATGCAACCCTAACCCTAGATGTGACGCCTATGGGATTCTAGGAGTGATTTCTACATCTATTTTCTTCTTTTCTTTTTCTTTTTTCTTTCTTTCTTTCTTCAATTCCTGCAGCCTGTTCACAGCACCCTAAACAGCCCCTAAACAGTGTAAAATCAGCCCCAAAAAGCCTACTCTTGTGGCTGTCCCTAATCGTCCTACATCAGTTTTGCTATCAGAGCTTAAGGTTTCGCCACTATTTTCTTACAAAGTGGGAGATCCTATGTGCCACAATATGTTATACCCCATAACAAAGAAGTTCCAGATTTTGAAGTAAGAGATGATCCTATGATGTTCTCTAATTGGTTTGTTTAAATTGAGGAATATTTTGATTGCTATGATTGGACAGATGATCGAAAAGCGAGATTTGTCAAGATGAAACTTGTGGGTTTGGCACAACTTTAGTGGTGTTGTGTTGAAGAAGATATAAGAAGATTGGAATTGCCACCAATAAACACATGGCAAGAGATGAAAGCTAAGCTTCAAGAGAAGTATATACCTTCAAATAATCTTCTTGAGTCATGTGAGCAACTTGTTTATTCAAGACATGGCAACACTTTCTTTGAAGAATATATGCAAAGACTTGAGGCACTTGACACTCGAAATCGAGTTGTGAAAGAATCATGTCAAAGACTTGCTAGATTTAAATCTGCATTAAGCCCTATTATTAGGCAAGAAGTGTCACATTAGTCAAAATATATGTACACACAAGAAGTCGTGCCAAAGCTGAAAGCTAGAGTTAAAGATCAAAAGCTTGTGCTATTAAAGCTACAAGCGAAGGAGAATGATCGAAACCTGCACAAGGTGAAAGATAACCAAATTTTGAAGGATAATGAGGCTCTTACTAATGATCCAAAAGCACCCCAAGAAGATCTAGTTATTACTAGAGTCCAAAGCGAGGAATTGGATGCTATGGAAGCTGGCGGGACTGAAGAATTGAAACGACCAACTGCTAGCGCTGAGCAAAATATGCCTTTAAAGCATATGTCAGAGTTAGAAGAGGATTGCAAAACAATTTTTTTGGTTAAGTTATGAGGAAATACAATGATCGTGTGTTTGATCTCTAGATTGAGCAGAAGGTAATTATTGTTTAGGTTGATGAGAGATCACACGGGGAGGTAGTGGAAATCATTAAAAGGAATAGGCATCGCAGTTTCACATTGAAACTTGATCTGGGAGGGGTTTTCTGGGCATCACAGGCTCTCAAAGATGCTGCAACCATGACTGACAAAAGGCAGTTCTTCAGAAAGTATACGAATAGCTCGACTGTTTTCTGGCTTTAGTGTTATTCAAATAGGAGAGGTGAGTTTGTGGAAACTAGCCAAGTGGGTTACTGGGATAAGGTCATCAAACATTATCATCCCAACAGAGTCAATCGTCAGGGGTGGAAGGATGTGGCTGGGTTACTTGAAACAATTCTATTTGGAACAAGGCAGAACATCCGTGCTAGAGATGCAGAAGGTAAGAAGGTAGGTAAGGTGACAAGAAATGTGGCCATGGCAAGGGATCTTCGAAATGGTGTTTGGTCGAATGGGGCCAATAAGGAGGATGACATGGAGGAAACGAGTCGGCAAATGAAAGTAGGGGCAAACAGAGGATGGTCGTATGCAGAGATTCTCAAGCTTCCATCATCAAGTTCGTTAAAGGATGGTTCTTCGCTAGTACTCCAGTAGGCGGTGGTGTGTGAGAGAGCTGATTTCTTTATAGGGTGGGAGCAAATTGAGAAGGAATTATGTAAATCTTACAAGATACCTATCAGGCTTCGTCCCTTTCAGTTGAATCGAGCTCTGTTTTTCACCAAGACCGAGGATGTGGCTGCATTCTACGGGAATAAAGGGTGGCATTTTTTTGGTAAGGGTATAGCTGTATTGCTGGCGAGGTGGTTAGAAGAGAAGCATAGGAGATCTAGTGTGATTGCTTCATTTGGAGGCTGGATTGCTATTTGCGATTTGCCGTTTAATTTATGGAATATCAAAACTTTTGAACAAATTGGGGCGAAATGTGGTGGGCTCTTAGAAGTGGACAACAGAATCAAGAATTTTGAAAACCTTTTTGAGGCAAGACTGAAGGTGAGAGGATCGGCGTCTAGGTTTTTACTATCAACTGTGGAGATTTCGACGACTATTGTGCGAGTGAAGGCGATTTCGAAGTTCTTCAGACAAAGGGAGGGTCATCGGCAATGGAATTTACAGTGAGAGATCCCATCGGAGCTTGGCGCCGGAGGTGGGGGAGATGAAGAGACTGGGGGGACAGTCCGGACACGTGGATTTCTGGTTCCCCAGGATGTTGGAGTTCACGAAGAGGCTCTTCTATTCGACAGAGAGAATGTCAACGGGGAGGGAAGGTCAAGCGTTGGGCATGATTGTATTGAACATGGGCCTGAAGTTCTGGGCTCCAGAACTCGAAAGGCTATTTTAGGCTATGAAGCACGGGTGCGGGTACGAGTACGGTACGGGTACGAGTGCGGGTACACCGATACGGCAAAATTCCAAAAAAGTAGGATACGGGTACGGCTGCGGTACGCCGATATTTTTTATTATTTTTTTATTTTTTATAATTATGGTGAGAAGATCCAACCTACAAATTGAAATTAAATATCAAAACTAAAAAGAGAATTATAAAACTAAAAGACAAATATTAATATATTTCAATTCAATACAACACAACCAACACCAATTCAGTCCATAATCCAAGCAATGGAAAAACAACCAACACCAAAAGAAAAACAAGGCCAATTCAGTTCATAACACAAGCAAATGAAAAAAAACAAAAGAAAGCCCTATATATCTAAACTTGACACTTCAAAGTTCACTTCCATCAACTTCATCATTGAATAAAACAGCTTCCATCTCTGGCTCATCAAGTGAAAGATTTGCAATTTCAAGGAAACCAGAACCCTCCAATGAATCAAATGCATCTCCCCCAACGTCCCATAACTTGGTCTCTCCTTCTGTGTATAGTTGACTCCTCCTTGATAAGAGACGAATATTGGAGTGCACAAAAACCAAATCCTCGCACCGTTGTGGTGTCATTTTATTCCTCCTCATAGAGTGAATGAAAGAGTAGGTGCTCCAATTCCTTTCACAACATGATGAGGAACATGGTTGGCTAAGTAATTTCACTGCCAAAGATTGGAGCGTAGGTGCAGAAGAGCCATGTGCCAACCACCAAACCACTGGTTCCATTACGCCTCTATCACATATTGAGTCAGAGTCACCAAAACTTTCTAAACAACCTGAAAACTTCGCATACTCTGTATTAACAACTCTTCTCTCATCTGAATCAGGAAAGTATCTCTTAAAACACTTGATTCTCATCTCAGAAATTTCAACATCTTTGTGAGGAGGAACACGAATGGGATTTTCATGAAGCCACATCCCACTATAATACCTAGATTTCATAATTAGAAAAAAATAATAAGTAAATTATGCAATGAAAAAAATTAAAGTATAAACTATGACTCTAATGTGAATTATACCTTGGATTCAAAGAATGAGCAAGGCAATGAAGAGGTGTGCTACTTTTTGTCCACCTTTCCACTAATATTTGATGCACTATAGAGTAAAAGGATGACTCTTCATTTTCTGACTTCCCTTCACGTCTATAGATGGATGCCTTCACCCGTTCAATCATTGAATCCCACATCTCATAAACCAAATGTAGACATGGCTTATCTGTGTCACAAAATCTGAGCATCTCATAAATTGGCAATGTGAATGAGAGTATATATTCAATCTTATCCCACCAAACATCATTCAACAACTTTTCCTTTACAACACTTGCTTTCCCAACATCATCTTCCTTGTAAGAAGCCCATTTGTCACTTATCACCATTGTTTGGAGACCATGATATATAAGTTTAAACCTTTTTAACATAACAATTGCAGATGCAAAGCGTGTATCTGCAACAGAAAGTAGCTTCAAAGGTACAAACTCATTAAAAATAGCTAATCTCATAGAATGATTCATGACGAAATGTTTCACAAACATTACATCATCAATCACAGTAGTGATCCAATGGCACTCATCATAAGCATATGCAGCAACTCCAATTTCCTTCGCAGCACAAATGTTCTTAAGAGCAAGATTAAGAGTGTGCACTACACAAGGTGTCCAAAAGATCTTCGGATAATTACCTTGAATAATTGATCCAGCTGCACTACAAACTGGAGCATTATCAGTAATTACCTGAATTACATTATTAGGACCCACTTCATCAATCACTTCACTAATTAATTTGGCAATATGATACTTGTCCTTGGTCTCACCCTCACAATTAACAGCTTTTATAAACATAGCTCCACCATTACATGCTGCCATAAAATTAATGAGAGGCCTCCTCTGTGCATCAGTCCATCCATCAGATACTATACTCAACCCCTTCTCATCCCATGATTTTTTAGTTGGTTCCAATAACCTTTCAATATTTGCCCTTTCTTTTTGAAGTAAGGTAGTCCTCAACAAATTATATCCAGGAGGGACATACCCAACAATTTGATTCTCAGCAGCATATTGAAAAGCATCCACAAAGTATGGATTCCTAGCCAAATGGAAAGGCAAACCGGCTGAATAGAACATACGAGCAATTAAAGAATGTAAGTGCTCTCTAACACTTTGATTGAATGCCTTATCTAAAGGACTACTCCCAATTGCCTTTCTCTTTCTTGGTGCATAACCTTCCATTCTAAATGTTCCAACATCTTCTACACTGCCGTGGCTAGCACTAATTTGAGAAGATGGTGGTGGTAAAGGAACATTTTTTGGCTTTGCCATTTTTTTCCGGTTCTCAGCTTCTTGATCTGCCTTTCGAATTTCAGAAAGAAGATCACTCTTGTTCTTCACAATTGCACACACTCTAATTCCATGGCCAGTAAGTAGCAACAAATGGGCTCTAACTCTAGAATATGACCCTTGGTACTCAATGTTACAAAAATTACACTTAAATTTTGTATTTCAGATTATAATTATTTGTGATCTAATTTTTTTTTAACATCAGATTATAATTATTAACATCAGATTATAATTATTTGTGATCTAATTTTTTTTTAACATCAGATTATAATTATTAACATCAGATTATAATTATTTGTGATCTAATTTTTTTTTAACATCAGATTATAATTATTAACATCAGATTATAATTATTTGTGATCTAATTTTTTTTTAACATCAGATTATAATTATTAACATCAGATTATAATTATTTGTGATCTAATTTTTTTTTAACATCAGATTATAATTATTAACATCAGATTATAATTATTTGTGATCTAATTTTTTTTTAACATCAGATTATAATTATTAACATCAGATTATAATTATTTGTGATCTAATTTTTTTTTAATATCAGATTATAATTATTAACACTTGCAGCAGATTAATTATTTATTAACATTTTTTATTTATTTATTTTTTTTTCTAAATATGATTGGGTTCAATACCTCTCTAATTTTTTTTTCGTTCTACATCAGATTATACCTCTGAAGAAGAAACAAGAAACAAGAAAAAAAATCAAAAAAAATAGAGATGAAGAGATTCTGACCAGTTGCTTGGTTGCTAGGTGGCTGATATGCAGTGCAGGGGACGAATTGAAAATAGATGCTTGCTGATCAGTGATCTCTGTATAAAATAAAAATAAAAAAAAATGAGATGAAGAAGAAGAAACGAAGAAGATGACAGAAGACGATGGTGGAAGGAAGATTAAACAGAGAAGAAGAAGGCTAAGAAGAAGGCGAAGAAGAAGATGAAGACGAAGAAGAAGAAGACTCACCGGAACTCTTGCGTCGCCGTCGCCGGAAGGGAATGGTGGGTCGCCGTCGCCTCTTCGTGCTGTGTCGCCTCTCCTCTTTGCTCGACTGATGACAGATTAGGGCAAGAGTGATGACATTAGGGCAAAAGAAATTCATTCGTAATTTCGTAAATATATATATATATTTTTTAATTTTTCTTAATATTGCTCCGGTGCCCCTCAATTCTCCAGAAAATTCGATTTTTGCCCCGCCGTACCCAAAACGCACCAAAGGCGTACCCATGCCGTACCCGAGCCGTACCCATGGCGTACCCGACAGAGGCAGATGTACCCAGCTACTTTTTGCCGTACCCGGTACGCGTGCAGCCGTACCGGTACACGTGCAGCCGTACCGGTACGCGTACCCGCACCCGGTAAGTACCCGGTGCGTGTACGGCACTATTTTTGGAGTACCCGTGCTTCATGGATTTTAGGTGAAGATGGGCTGTTGGGGGAATTTCGGCGCAGGCCAGTTTTGGGCCTTTTTTCTGTTTCACTTGCTGACTGGGTTGGTGATGATGAGAGGATTGATTTGGGCCTCTCTTGCACTCGTCGTTTGGGTCAAGGTCTGAACCATGTGGGTGATGGCCCATTGGGTAATAAACAATCAAGTTTTATTTGAATCACAATGGGCCTAAATCAGACAAAATGGGTATTCCTATTCCAGGGTTGGATCTAGGGCTTTGTCAGGTTAAGGCGACGTCGGGTGTTCTCGAAGGGGTGAATGATTGTATACAGGTAGTGACGCAGGCGGATGACAAGGATGAAGGTAACGTCAGTCGGAGATAGAAGATTGAGAAGGTTGGGGCTGATCAGGGTCCGACTTTGCTGGTTGGGTTATACCCAAATGAAGTTCATTTGGGTTTGGCTGATGTGGTTGATCGCTCCTCAGGTCAGCTTCTTCAGATTGAGCGACCCTTCGAAGTTAATGGTTTGGCTGAAGACGAGGATGTTGCGATCGAATGTTTACCTGGTGTTGACAGAATGATTCATGATATGGAAGGGGGCATTTGCGATCCACAAGGGGTGTTCCAAGCATTAGAAGGATATGGTTCTCAAGACAGTACTGAGGATTCTCTGGGTCCGAATGAGGAAGCTGATGACTATTCGGAGGAGGAGAGGGTTGATGATTTTGACTTGAATCTCAATTGGCTATACCATGATGAGGTACCGAATTCTTCTTGTATTAAGCACACTGGGGGATCTGAGGGTGAGGCAGTCTTCAATTCTTGTGAACAGGTTGGTGACTCTATTGACGGGGATAACATGAATTCTTCTCTTCATCCTAATCTTCAGAGTCCTCATTCTATGTCAGTTAGGGGGGAGGAGAGGGAGTCAGTATTGGGTCCTTGTTTCTTACAAGCTACCAAAATGGTTTCTAACAAGAATGATAATTTGCCTCTGTTACATAAGAATAGGATCTCTACCAGTGGTAGTTTGAACCCTTAGCTGAATAATATGGATACTAATAAGGCTGATCTTTCGAGGGAGGAGACTCCTAATCATAGGCTTCAAAGGAACATTGTTAGTGGCAACGATGGTGTTGAGTCCGAAATGTGGTTGAGGGAAATGAGTAAGTATGTGTCCTTTCCTTTGGAGCAGGATGATGTGCCTCACTTTGCACAGCTACTTGAGACTCTTGGGTTGGCACTGGTCAGGAATACTGGGAAGAAAGCTCGGGCTAGAAGGGTGGGGAATCCGTCTGTGGGGGATGGAAGTCAAAGAGGTTCGGGGCTTAGGAAAGGGATGAGGGAGTTACGAAACCTTGAGAGTGGCATCAATTATGAGAGGCGGGGAAAAGAGGCAAGGGGTGATGATGGTTCCCGCAGAAGATCTTTAGTTGGAATGTTCGAGGACTACGGTCTCTTAGGAAAAGGCGGTAGTTAAAGAGGTTTTGAAAATTCATCAACCAGATATAGTTATATTTCAAGAGACAAAGTGTGAGGAGTGTGATAGGGTTTTTATTAGAAGTGTTTGGGGGACTCGATGTAGGAGATGGGCTGTATTGCCTTCTAGGGGGAGTTCAGGGGGAATTTTGATTATGTGGGATGAGAGAGTTGTAGCGGAGTGCGAGGTAGTTGTTGGGGTATTTTCTTTGTCCATTAGGTTTAGAAATAGGGATAATAAGGAATGGTGGTTGACAGGGGTGTATGGTCCTAATAGATTAGGGGATCGAAGGGAGTGGTGGGATGATTTGGTGGGATTATTTGGGCTTTGTTCTCCTTATTGGTGTGTGTGGGGGGATTTTAATGTGGTTAGGCAGGTTTCGGAAAAACTAAATGGGGTTTCCACAAATAGGAGTGCGAGGGACTTTGATTCTTTTATCAGGGAGTGTGAGTTGATTGATCTCCCTTTGAGCAATGCGCGATTCACATGGTCTAATTTGCAGGAAAATCTGGTGTGTTGTAGGTTGGATAGGTTCCTTCATACTTTGGGGTGGGAGGAGATGTTCCGGATGTAAGGCAAGAGGTAGGGCCCAGAGTGGTGTCAGATCATTGTCCTGTGATTCTAGAGAGTTGTCCTTTTAAATGGGGTCCTACCCCATTCAGGTTTGAGAATGTGGTTGGAAAATCGGGATTTCAAGGCATTCTGTAAGGAGTTGTGGGAAAATGCCCGTGTCCATGGGTGGGAGGGTTTTAAGTTTATGCGTAGGTTGAGAGGAGTAAAGGAAAATCTTAAAGTTTGGAAACGTCAAGTTTTTGGGGATATGGGTGAGATAAAAGCAGAATTAGTTCGGGAGATTGGGGAGTTAGACGTGAAGGAGGCCGGGGAGGGTTTATCTCAAACGTTAAGGTATAGGAGATCAATGATTAGAATGAAGTCGAAGGAGATCATTTTTAGGGAGCAATTTTTTGGGATCAAAGAGCTAAGTTGAAATGGGCTAGAGAAGGTGATACCAATTCTAGATTTTATCATAGAGTTGCGTTGGGGAAGCGGAAGAAGAGTTTTATTAAAAACTTGAAAGTGGCTCCAGGTGAAGTGATGTGTAAGGAGGAGCTTATTGTCAAGGAAATTTTTAATTTTTATTCAAATCTATATTCTGATGGGGGTGTGGATCGTCCAGGGATTGAAGGCATTAATTGGGTTCTAGTGGATTTAGCGACTGCTAGTTGGCTGGAAAGACCCTTTGACGAAGATGAGATGAGACAGGCTGTATTTGAGTGCGATAGAGATAAGGCTCCAGGCCCAGATGGCTTTTCAATGACAACTTTCAGGATTGTTGGGAAATTGTAAAAAGGGATTTAATGAGGGTATTTTCTGAGTTTTTTGAGAGCGGGCAGGTTAATTTGTGCACCAATGCATCCTTCATTTGTCTAATTCCCAAAAAGGAGAAGTTGATCAAGATTGGGGATTTTAGACCCATTAGCTTGGTCACATCTCTTTGGCACCGTTTGGGAAGAGCTAAACTAGGCTTTTTTGGCTATTTTAGCCATAAAAGACAAAATAGGCTATTTTAGCCACAAAAAACAAAATATCACATCTAACCCATAATCATTACACTCTTCTCACACAAAAAAAGTCAAAAAAGCCAAAAAATAAAAAGTTCTTCCCAAACCAAGCTTTTTAACCCAGACTAAAATAGTCAAAAAAGCTAAAAAGCCAAAAAGCCAACACACTTCCCAAACCAACCCTTTATAAGATTTTAGCTAAAGTGCTTTCTAGGAGAATTAGAGTTGTCATGGGGGAAACTATTTCTTCGGCACAAGGTTCGTTCGTGCAAGGTCGGCAGATTTTGGATGTAGTCTTAGTGGCTAACGAGGTTGTGGAGGAGTATAGGGGTCTACGTAAGGAGGGTAATGTCTTTAAGGTAGATTTTGAGAAGGCATATGACTATGTTGATTGGGGCTTTGTGGATTTTGTTTTGGAAAGGAAGGGGTTTGGAGTTAGATGGAGGAAGTGGATTTGGGGGTGCTTGTCGTCATGCAATATGACAATCATTGTGAATGGCAAGGCTGGGGATTTTTTCCAAGCATCCAGTGGTCTAAGACAGGGTGATCCTTTATCATCATTTTTGTTTATTTTAGTTGCTGATGTGTTGGGTAGGATTATTGATTTAGCTAAGGATAAGGGTGTCATTGAGGGGTTTGTGGTGGGAAGGGATAGGATAGGTGTTACTCATTTACAATTTGCGGATGATACTATTTTCTTCTCTTCTAAGGAGGAAAGTAAGGTGGCGAGTTTGCTAAAGATTCTGAAATTTTTTGAAATTGTGTCGGGCATCAAGGTCAATCTTAGCAAAAGTTGTGTTGTGGGTATTAATTTAGACGATAGTCATGTGCATAGGGTGGCGGCTATGTTGGGATGTCCAATTGATTCCTTTCCTCTCAAATATCTGGGGCTTTCGTTGGGAGGAGATCCTAGATTGGTGTCTTTTTGGGAACCTGTTCTTGCCAAAATTAGGAAAAGATTGGAGGGTTGGAACGAGCTTTGTTGTCTAAGGGAGGGAGGTATACGTTGGTACAATCCATTTTAGGATCTGGGAAGGGTGTGAGGAGGGTAAAGGAATTCATTTGGTTAGGTGGGAGACTGTTTCTCTTCCTAGGGCAAAAGGTGGCTTGGCTATTGGAAACATTGTTGCTAGGAATATTGCTTTCTTGGGCAAGTGGTTGTGGAAATTCCCTCTTGAAAGTGAATCGTTGTGGTGTTCAGTCCAATGGTAGGGATTCTAATGTGCTTAATAGAGGCAATTGTCGTTCAGCGTGGAAATCCATTTCTCGTTTGTATTCTCTTGTGTCTAATTTCTTTTCATTCAGAGTGGGGAATGGGGAGAACGTTCGGTTTTGGGAGGATGTTTGGTTAGGGGATATTTCGTTTTCTAGATCTTATCCCTTTCTTTACAGGTTGGTTCGTTCTCAAAAAGTGTCTATTGCGTCAGTGGCTTGCTCGTCTATGGCACCCATCTCCTGGAATTTTGATCTCATTAGACACTTGAATGATAGAGAGGCGAGGGAGTTGGCATCTTTGTTGGTAGTGCTTGAGGGGGTTTCTCTTTCTCCGTCTTCTGATAGTAGGGTGTGGAATCTTGTCTTTTCAGGGGTCTTTTCATGCAAATCATTTTTTGATAAGATTATTGATAATCCCTTGGTTCCCTTGTTCCCTTTTCATAAGAAAATTTGGAAAGCGGGTGTCCCTCATAAAGTGAAGTTTTTCCTGTGGTCTTTGGCTCAAAAGGGTGTTACAACTAATGATGTTCTCCAGAGGAGAAGGCTTAATCACTTTCTTTGCCCTCAATGGTGTATGATGTGCAAGAAAAATTTGGAGGATGCGGGTTATCTTTTTCTTCATTGCCCAGTGGCTTCTGTATTATGGCAGCGTCTTTTCAGGTTATGTGATGTGCAGTGGGTTGCTCCACGGGAGTGTATGCATATGATTCTTATTCGGTTTGAAGGGTTTGGGAGTACCAAGAAAGCCAAATCAATGTGGATAGGCATTGTTTTTGCTTTTTTCTGGGTTATATGGTTGGAGAGAAACCTTCGAATTTTTGAAGGCAAGGAAGTAAATGTAGAGGCGTTGTGGGATAGGGTGAAATATTTGGCCTTATTTTGGGCATTTATGTCTCCTCCTTTTAAAGGGGTCCCTTTGTTTTTGATCTCTAGGGATTGGGCTGGTGTTTGCCATTCTTAGGGTTTCGAGTTTTGCATTTTTGTTTGTTTTTTTTTTTTTTTCTTCCTTTCTTTGTACGAGGACTTCTTGTCCTCTTTCTATTTCACGTTTTAATAAAATTTTGTTTTTTCTCAAAAAAAAAAGAAGAGGATTGCAAAACGACATTTTCGTTGAAAGATTGAGAATATGGAATCCATGTCTGTTGATGCAAATATGAGCATTTAAATTTATTGTAAGCACTGTATTACAAAGCCAAAAAAGAATGGAATGGATGATGGGGCAACTCAACACTCTGATCAATTCAAGGGTTTATGTTCTACTTCAATTGATTTCGTCATTCCAGATAAATTTAGCTTTAGAGTTGAAAATATCTTGTTGCTTTCATTGCTACCTCCAATGAAGAAGAAACGATGCTGCGAACTTGAAGATTTTAATGTGAAGCCATGGATGTGGATTTTTATTCTCCATCACTTTAAAACTCGAGGTCGAGTTTTTTCCAACCAAGAGAGAATGATGCAGAGTATAAGAAGCTTAAGGAAGGCTAAATTCAAAGAAGTAATGATATTTGGACATCGACATGATTTCATAGAGAAACTGATAGGAATTTTATATAATTATGTTTATAGTATTATTAGAGTATTATTTTATGATTATTTTTATGTTTTGTACGATTTTTAGGTCGAGGGTATTTTGGTAATTTTCATTATTGTTGTCATGGGATCACCCATGGGTCGTCTTGTGGGTCAACTTATTTAATTGAGTTTTATTTATGTTTCTTAGTTGGTTTTAAATTAGTTTTGAAAGTCTAAGGCTCTGTTTGGTAGAGTTTTGGAACGCTAGGTCCAGGCTTTGATTTGCACATGATGTTTGTTTATGGTTTTTAAAAATTAATTCCACATTCACTCTTGAAAACTCTGCCCAAGGCGGGAAAATTTGGGCTAACCGGACGTCCGGCCGGTTGACCAGAACAGTGCATTTTTTTTTTTTGGCAATTGACACATGTTAATTTTTATATATTCCACAAAAAATATTTTTCAAATTTTTTAAAATTTGTTATGAGCTTTGAATAGAATTTTGAGTTGTGTATTTGGTTGTGAGTTGTAAGTTTTTATATCAAATATCATATGTCACATTAAAAATTCCCCACTCTTTTCAAAACTCATTCACCAAACAAATTTTTCACACTCAAATCATAATTTCAAAACTCACAAACTCAAAATACAACTCTATTCCCAAATCATATTTAGAAAAATCTACCAAACGCAACCTAAGATATTATAGTAGTTTCATTTTTTGGTTCTAGTTGGTTTAGGAAGTCTCCTAATCTATAAAACCCTAGGTGTGATGCCTAAGGAATTCTAGGAGTGATTTCTAGACCTATCTTCTTCTTCTCCTTTATTTCTTTCTTAAATTTCAGCACTTTGACAGCCCCAAAAAAGCCCTTACAACGCTGTCCCTATTGTCCTGCATCAATGGGGTTTTAGCCTCATATCTTGAGCTTCTCTTTTCTTGCCTTTCAAACCTTTTAGCATCTATTTCTGTTTCTTTGTTTTGTGAAATCCTCATGAAATAACCACAACTATACTAAGTCCTCTTGATTATTATTTTTTAGTGGTATTGCTATTTATTTTTACTACCTCTTCGAATATTTCAGGTTCATGAAAATGCTTATTTTAGTGATTTCCATCACTGCTTTTCTCTTCCATCAAATTATTCAGGTGAGAATGCACATGTGGCAAAATCATTTTTTTCTTCATATAAACGATTGTCTAACATTCATTTTTATAGTTTGTGCTGAATTTTATGATTCTTGATTCGATTCGATTCATGACTCACACAATTAGGATTTTGATGCATGATACGATCCTTGAATTGACAACTATAATACAATCCTACAGGGACTACTGATGCACTTGTGGAAGCAAGAATAGCTGGAATTAATGTTATCATTGGAAGGTGAGCTATCTAGGTTATTTTTTTGTTCTCTGATTATTGTATTTCCCATCTTCTGCTGGTCTTAATTTTTTGTGCTTTGAATCACATGGGAGAAAGGCAAGGGCAGTCATGCAATTCTGTTTGCAAGTCAAATGGGCAGTCATGTGTTCCGAACAAACTGTCAATGCTTAATCAATGTGCAATGTAAGCTTTATCTTTCTTGCATTTTTCTGCATTAGTTTTTTATTTGGTTATGAATATGCTGATTTTATAGCTGGCCATGCTTACTGTTCTTTATGGCCATGATTTTTGTTCTAGCTTCTTGGGTTTGATCTACATTAACTAAACTGAGCGATTTGTGTGGAAATATACTTGTGTTGGTTTTTATATGGTGAATTGGATTTCGTTTTCAATTTTCATATCTTATTTACCTAATCTTGGACAATAATCAAATGCATATTGTTGTATAATTGCCAACTGTATGCCATTTCTTTGTTTTTATTTGTTTCTCTTTTGCAAAAATACAAAATATTTAAGGGGCATGTGGAAAGTCCACATGGGAATGAAAGTATTCTTTCTGTTTCATATAATAGCATTCTAGATTATTTATGTTTCTTGTAATATTTAGAAGGATTCTCCATTTACATGTTTAACCAAAAAAAAAAAAAAAACTTTTTTGGGATCATTTATGCAATTATCATGAAATAACATTTCAGTTCTGTTGTTATTTGTGGTGATTTCTTCATCTCTCGTTATGATGGGGGTGGGTGTTATCAGATGCTTTGAAAGAACCTTCCTATTTCTTTAATTGATCCAATACAACAGGCACTGCTAATGCACTTGTGGAAGCAAAAATAGTTGGAATTAATGTTATCATTGGAATGTGAGCTATCTAGGTTATTTTTTTGTTCTCTGATTATTAAGAATAGTTGGAATTATTATATTTTTTTGTTCTCTGATTATTATTTTTTTGTTATCATTGGAATTAATGTTTCTTTGATATGTTTGCAAAGTTTATTATTATTGTTGTTTTTGTTTTTGTTTCTGTTAGCTTTATATGTATTCTTGTTGCAAATAGTATGCAGAAATATATGAGCTGCAAAGGAGCATGTTTGGCAAGCATTGGAGCAGACCAACCTGCTGAAGTTGTCGATGATGCGCCTAAAGATCTGGTACTTGTGCTCTTTTTGCAATTGAGTTTTGTAATTAAGCACACCATTTCCAAATTTGTCATATAATATAAATGATAATACCCGCCTTATTATGTCATACGTGTGAATTGATTTCTTTTAAAATTTGCAAATTGATAAAGCTGTTTTAGAATTTTCTTTAACTGTAGAATTGGGTTATAGACAATGATTTTAGTTTTGGCTATAATATAATTCTAAATTCTGTTTTCACATTACAATTGGATACAATCATAATATGGTTATATTGAGTTTAAGAAATATTTTTCATGGAAAAAAAAAAGAACTTAGGATAACTAGTGAGAAGCCCACGAGTGTATCACAAAACAAGAAAATTAAAATAATTATGTATGTGAGATTAAACCTGACTGTGAATTATTATTTGCCTATTTGTGTCCAGAATCCAGGAGCGTGCTTATACACTCGAACACAATCAATGCTTTCTTGTGATGGTTCGCATCGGCATACAAGGAGGCTTTGCCCCTGTGCATAGTTTCATAATTTGCTAAGTTTTCTCTTGTACACGCCTCCAACATCAGTTCTGGGAATGGTCTATTTCAATTATTGTGTGGTAAAAAATGGTGAAATCCCATTACTCAATAAAGAAGGCATACAAGAATCCATGAGAGTCTTTGCACCTTACTGATATGCAGGTTGCACCACTAAGGCTACAAACTCGAGAGAGGTGGAGCTTTTCAAAACCATATCGGCTCTTTGTTGTAGAAGAGCTATTGAAGCGGGTTTGAAATTGAGGCAGATATTTATATAGTGCTTGTATTTATATTATTAATTCGTTTTTAAAAGAGAAAATGCAGCCCAAGGGTATATGCACTTATCACCATAGAAGAGCCTTTAGCATAGAAGAGAAAGTCAACAGCTTGTAGAACTATCTTGAATGCAAAAAAAATGGTTTAAAGTACAACATGAATAAACTGTTGGAGAATGGCTGTAACTGTTTTTGAAAAAATGGTTTGAATTGATCTTTTATGTGATTCATGTGTCTATTTCTTCGAAGGTGGATGTTATTACGTATGTGCCAACTTTAATATTTGTCCCTTAGCTAGTAAAAGAAAAATCATTTGCGTCGCAAATTAAGTTGACCAAATGAGAAATTGCCTTGGTATGGAAACATGAAAATTCAACCAAGTGCGGAGAGTAAAACTTCACTGTTTAATTGAAATTTGAATTATACTCATTGGGTCATGTCCACCCGTAGGTGGACAAATCTCAGAATGGGTGGTTTGCATTATAAGAGGATATGTGTCTTTCTAAACCCATTTTGGTTTGACGTTGAGTTTAATCTAGTCATTCAAAGCTCAAGTCTGAACAAAATTTAAATTTCAAACTCATCTATTTAACCAAATAAATATGAACTTGTAATTTTTATTCTTTAATGTGTATTAAGTTATTTAGATCTTTTTATATATCTGAATTTAGAATGTTAATAAAATTAAGGGGAATTGACTAGTAAATTCTAGTTTGTTATCTTGTAACCCATGTGGTCGTAAGTTATTTCTTTTAAACTGTTTAGTCCTGAGGATTGGTTATTTACTATTTTGCCATTGGTGTGTTAATTTGAATTTATGGGCGCATTTGTTTGTGGGAATGATGGTGTTTGTGGTTCACGTTCCCATGAAAAGCGTACTAGTGGGCTTTTATATGGGGTTTGTGTTAGTGAGTTATGTGGGATTGGGACATAGTTTGTGGGTGTTATGTTGATGTGGGTGTTATTTTGATGTGGGTGCATGAGGCAGGTATTGTGTGCGACCCGTAAGTCTAACTGTACTGACACGTTACACCGAATTCGTTTGACCCGTCAAAATGTTTTGGAAATAGGAATCATCCCCAATTTGGAAAACCAAATCGGTGGTAAGGGACGACGTGAACCCTATCATTTGTTGTGATTGCCCCTTCACCTGTTTTGAAATTCAAAAAATCTTATTTCGAAATAGATGCTAGAGATAGGAGGAATATTTGACCCAAGGTTTGTGCATATCAGAATTGGTGTGGTTTTACTTCTTGTTGAGTGTTGTGGCATGAAGAACCCTAATTTGTGTGATCAAACATAATTGGGGATTGTGAGTTCGACATAGCAAACGGAACACAATTTAGCCGAATGAGACTTTTCGATAAACTTCCCTTCAATTAAATGGTAAAATTAATATGATTTTTAACAAATATTTTAATTTAAATCCTAGACAAAAGTATATATGCATTTTTTTGTTTTATATATATTTTATAAATGGGCGAGTCGGGTTAGACTGGGCTAGAACTAGGGGGTTTGGGCAGTGTGGTTCAGTGCGGCTTGAGGGTAAATTATATAGGTTTGAGATGTTCTAAATAAGTGCACTTTTTGACTTTTTATGAAATATGAGTTGGATGTGGGTTGAGTTTAAAGTGATGTGGTAGAGAGGTGATGTGACTTAAATTGAATAATAATTTTTTAACTTTTTGACTCTTTTAGGTTATGACAAACAAAGTGTAAATTATGAATGATAGATTGACAAATAACCAAGTCGCGATTTGGGCAGTTTCAATTTGTTAGTTAATTGAAAAATAATCTCGAACAATTATCAAGTATTTACATAATATGTAATACTAATCTACATAATATTTTGTATATATATAACACTAACTAATTTTACAAAATAATTTTCATATATATAATACTAATTTGTAACAAATTTCACATCTCAAATATGTTTCTCACTCTCATCTACAAAATATATTTTTCATTGATTTTTTTCTTTAATATTCCATTAAAGATAAAATAATATGTATTTATTCTACCAGTTTGACAATTTTAAATTATATATTTCTGGATGAAACTAATCTTAATGGAGCCAATTTTATTCACATGTGCAAATAAAATTTGATAATATTAGAGATATTAAATTTCTTGTCAAATAAATGATTAAATATCTTAGATGAATGTAGAGGTCATAAAAATGTGAGATTTACATCATATAAAATATTTAATCATTTATTTAGTAAAAAATTTAACTTCTAACATTTTCCAATAAAATTACCCTAATTGACGCACACGATATGCCGTATAGTTTGCCGCCATCGTAACCGACTTACTGCGTACGGTACACGCTATAATTTCCCGCCAATTGATAACCGACTTACAGAGTCGGTGGAGAGAACATTATATATATATGCCCTACAACTAGAATTAGAATTGATCGTCCTCTTTTTCACTCTTCTCTCTCTCTTTTCGTTGTTCACATATCTTCAAGACCCTAGCCGCCATCGCTGCCTACCTCTTGCTCCACCCAGCACCCCCATTCACGGCCACCGTGAGCCACTGACAAGGAACCACGCCGCTACGTCCCCTGCCCCTCATCTCATCTCACATTATCATCCAAATTCAAAAGAATAGATAACTCTTCTACTTTTCTCTACTAATTTTTTTGTCTCTCATACACAAACTTAAAAGAAAAGATAATTGAAGATTGCTGCGTTACTTCTGAGGTTTGCTTTCTTGTTCTTATCTTTCTTTCTTTCATCAATTTTGGGTTTCTTCAACTAAATGGACTTTCTGTTCTTTAAATGGACTTTGGTGTGCCAGTGGTCAGGGGTTATTTGGCTCACAGGTTGTGCGGCCGATATCACCATTGTTGACGAGGGTCGTGATGGTCTCTTCTCCTTTTTTTCTCCCAATCTCCCCACCCTGTACTCCTCCGCCAGGGCAATACCATCATCATCCCCTAGCGTGTCTGGCGTCAGTAGAGGGGCTCTCTCTTCCACCATTTCACTCACGTTCCTGTAAATCGCTTTGGTTGCAGGGGCAAGAAAACTCGCAACGTGCAACAATGGTGAATCACACGACATGAACAAGCTCACGTCTGTGATTCGTCGGTTTCTCACGATTAGGTAAGGAAATCGTACAAGTCCGAAGGCCCAAGGCTTGCTTGTGTTTCGCGGGTCGTAATTGAACTTTGCCAGTTTCAAAACAAAACCAAAACCACGACAACACCCCCGTCTTTTACAATCCCCCACTATAAACGACCTTTACCCTTTTCCCACATTTTCATTGACGAGCCTAATCACCCCTACGCCCGCACACGCGCCACACCGCCACCAGTACATATCTTTTCTTTTCTTGTCTATTCCGCTTCACATCATCACGTGCCTACTTGCTCCTTGAGCCCTGTGCGCCATCATTGACTTTTCGGCCACCTGCGCAGTTGGCCATCCTCGCGGTCGGCCATCCCGGTCGACCACCTTTGCAGTCGGCCCTCTTCCCGGTCGGCCATCCTCCCAGTCGGCCATCCTGGTTGGCCACATTCGCAGTCGGCCCTCTTCCCGATCGGCCACCTTCGCAGTGGGGCCTTCTTGCGGTTAGCCATCCTCTTGATTGGCCATTCCAGTCGGCCAGCTTCACAGTCGGCTCTCCTTGCATCGCATTCGGCCCTCCTCTCGGTCGGCGATCCCACTCGACCACCCTCGTGCTTTGACCTCTCTACTGTCGGCCGCTTTCACTGCTTAGTCGCTCCTCTACCCCCACCCTTACCCCCTCCCCAACCTTGGGGGACTCCCTCCGCCTTTCCTATTCTCTTCGTTGGACTAAAGCTGTACTTGGGACTAGGGGACTATTGATATTGATGGACACCCAGGAAGGCCCATTCCACGGATCAGGGCCCAGTCAACATCCCAGCGATCAAAGCCCAATAACTCTGAGAAATCAACACTAAGCTAAGACCAATAACATTCAAACACTTGCCAAACAGAGGCCTAGACACGTAAGAAAACAAAGATCTTGTAAAGTTATTGCATCACATATCAGCCATTAATGAAGCTCTCACAACATTAAATATTATAATCCCTTCGCGTCGGAGGAGACAGACTCACCATGAACGATGCGAGGTAGAATATAGACTTTTAGCCCACTCCACAGTCGGGAATGGACAAGGAAATGATGAGCAAAGGATATAAGGAAGTTTCCAAGATACATTAGAGGTTAAGTTCTTCATTTTCCCTCTCTCTCTCTCTCTCCCTACACAGTCAATTTCTCCTATTCTAACTCGATCGTTGGAGGGTCCATCGGGGGATTACCTCCCTCTTTAGACCTTTTTGCAGGAACGTTCTGTGGTTCGCGGAGTGCAGGATCTTGCCTTGGCTATGGCTGTAGCGGAGTCCCTCATTGAGTATAAAAGGGTAGACAGCAAGGCCAAGACATCTAAGGATAGCCATAATACAGGTGGGGGAGACAAGGATAAGGGGTTCCAACGTAAAAAGGGGCACAACAAACCCCCTACTGGCAAAGAGAGAAAAGATAAAGCTAAGTACCAATTCAAGGACAAAGGCAAGTTCAATCCCAAGACCAACTGCTTCTTATGTGATGGACCACATTAGGCAAGAGACTGTCCTAGAAGACAAGCCCTCAATGCCATGATAGAAGAGCGGGAGAAAGAGAAACTCCCCACATGGGATCCCTGCAACTACTCAATGCTATCAAATTGAAGCATGCCACATCTACCCAAAATGACAAAGGCTTGATGAACGTGGAGATAAGCCTCAACGGGAAGCCCACTTATGCTATGGTAGACACGGGAGCAACACATAACTTTGTCTCTGTGGACGAGGCAAACAGGCTAGAACCCAAAGCCACTAAGGGATCTGGTTGGCTTAAAGCTGTTAATTCAGAAGCTAGGCCCCTGCATGGAGTGGCACGCGGAGTGGATATAGCCATTGGAGCATGGAGTGGCAAGATTGATCTTACAGTGGCACCCATGGATGACTTCAAAGTTGTCATTGGCATGGACTTCTTGGGGAAGGTTAAAGTATTCCCACTACCATTTCTACGCTCCGTGGCCATTTTAGAAGAGAAAACACCATGTGTAGTACAGACTACAGCTGGAAAAAGGTTCAAGACCCCAATACTCTCAGCCATGCAAGTAAAGAAAGGGTTCAAGAAAGAAGTAACCTACCTTGCAACCATGGCAG